GGGGGCTGAGGAGAGCCGGGTGAAGCGGGCCTTCAGGTGATGCACACCCACCACACGACTGACGCCAGACGTGGACGCCAGGGCTGCTGGTCATGGAGTGTGGGGAACTGTCTGTACTACTACTCACCTTTTCTCTAAACCTTTCTAAAACCGTTCTGAAAACAAAGCCTATTTAAAAAACCATGAAAAACAGACATCATACAAAATTTAGAAGATACAACCAAAAAAAAGTACAGACGTTGTCAACCAGAGCAATAACCTTTTGGTTTTTCCTTCTTGGACTGTCACCCCAGCCTGTGTCTCTGCAGCTGTGATTGGCCTCAAAGAGCTCGGACCACACACGCACCCAGGGGACGCACGTGGCACTCTCCCTTGGAGCCGCCTCCCTAGGACTCGGGGGTTCCGGGCACACTGGCAACCCATACTCTGGCCTGGAGCACAGGAGCGCCCACGTCAGGGCCCGGACGACTCCTTCTGACGTGATTCCCCACCTCTCTCTGTAAACCCTGTGCACACAGTTCTGACTCGGGCCTCAGGGCTGGCAAAATCAGGTGGCCTCCCAGTCAGCCACGTCGTTCCGCTTAGCCCCACGGGCCAGCTCACACGCTGTCTCTGTGTCCTCCCAAAACCACCCTGAGGAGTAAGCGCCTTCTCGCACCCCAGTCACCAAGCACGGAGAGGACCAGCCATGCCACAGCGGTCGGACAATGAGGCCGGTCTCTGCAGAGGCCCAGCCAGAGGCAAGTCCAGAACACACGATTACAGTCCCAGGTCCCTTCTCGAGAACACCTGTTGCGCCCAGGTTTATGCCGTAGCTGTGCTGCCAGAGGGCAGGGATGCTGCCTCCCAAGGCGCCATGCTCTAACAAGCACAGCGCGGCCGCAATGCGCTGATGGAGGCCGGCCTCACAGTGTGGCCACAGTGTTGAATGTGCTGACGGAGGGCCGGCCCGGATCCATGGCTTTAAATGCTGTTCACTTCCTGATGACATCCCCAAGAGCCAGCGTTAATACATCCAGCACCCAGTCTGGACATCTTCCCCGTGCTCTTCCCTCCTGCTGCCCCCCCAGCCCCCTCTTCCCAAGCGCAGGAGCACCCTTTCATCCACGCCCCCTGCTCACAGGCCACCACGTCCTTCCCGCTGCGTCACTGCTACAACCTCCACGTAACCCAGCAGCACCTCTTACCTGGCAGTTCCAAGAACCGCCAAGGGGGGCTCCTGCCCATCCTGCACCCACTTCCACCTGGCCTCTTGCTTACAGCACCCCCTGCACCGCCTGCCTTCATGACCCTAAACACACAGGCGCGCTCCTGACGCGAGCACCTCCACCCCTCCTCCTCCCACCTGGGGGGCTTTCTCCTGGAGCGCTGCAGGATGGGCTCTGCCGGTCAGTCCTTCTGCCTCTCCTCCTCGCTGGTGGTCTCCCCGATGCTCCCCACCTACCCCTCCGCCCAGCGCGTCATTCTCTTTCCAGCCCCCACACCACCTCAAGTTACACGACGGTCCGTTTGTTTCTGTTTCACCCTAAACGAAAAACCAAACCCGTTGCCATCGAGTCAATTCTGACTCACACTGACCCTCAGACAGAGCAGAAACGCCCCACAGGATTTCCAAGGCTACACGTTTTTAGGGAATCAGACTTCGTCTTTCCCCCCGTGGAGCGGCAGGTGGGTTTGAACTGCCGACCTTTCAGTTAGCAGCTGAGTGTTTAACCTAACAGTGAGCACTCTCTTCCCTAACTGAGGCAGCGCCTGCACCAGGACGGCGAGCAGCTGCGTCCTTGCTGTCCTGGCGACCCTGGCCCACTCAGGCCAACGGAGGGGGGCTTACCTCGGGGGTCTCGCTCGCAGCCGTGCTCTCCTCCTTCTTCCGCTCCTCTTCTTCTTGCTCGAGCTCCTTAATGCTCTCTTCCAAGACGTTGGGCCAGAAATCACCTTCGAAGTAGGGCAGCTCCTTGGCACTTGTGAGCCTATCCTCTGTCGCTTGTTTGAAAATGTCCTGGAAAGAGAGCAAAGCACAGCGCTGAGATGGCAGGGCCAGTGGAACATCCCAGAACTCTGGCCCGGGGTGCCCGTCAAGGTCACAACAGTCTGTGTCCACCGGGGATTCTGCGGCTCTGGGAAAGCCACCAGGACTCAGTGGTACTGGCATAGGTACATTCCAAGGGTACACGAATTACAGAGACCAGCTGACTTAAACAGGCACACCAGATCCATGTTTTCAGATTACCCAGTAGAAACCCTGGTACAGTGCATAACAGGACGTGTCTACAGTTTTATTTTATGCCTTCTAATCTCTTGTAATGATATTTCCACAAGAAGAAGTTGAGCGCTACAGGAAAACACCCAACTGCACCTGAATCACGGGGGCCTGGCCACCCAGCCCACGGGCCCTGGTACCTTGTAGTCGTGAATGATCCGCTCTGCAAACGCCTTGTCCAGCATCTTTTTGTACCACTCCTGCAGCCGTTTTGGCTTCGGGATTTTCTGATCAGGGGGGTGGCAATGGAAGATGTAATCATCTCCTTCACTTGGGGGACAGGCCCAAATGTGGCCTGTCACGTACCTGCAGGACACGTACACAGCTCAAGTGGGTGTGCTCAGTGACACTGGGGCCTGCCCTCAAGGAGTGACAGCCAGGTAACAGGTGACAAGGACCAAAGCAAGGACAGAAATAATGATAGAGAAAAAAACAAAACAGAGAAATGATCCTAACACCTGTGGTAGAATGTGGTAAGAGACCCAGAGAGGTCTCCATGTGCTGGGGCACGGGGCAGGAGGGCTGAGTGCTGAGAGTGAGCACAGGCCAGCCCCGGACATGGCCCTACAACACGACCCCTCAGAGGCATGCACACAGGCGTCACATTAGCGAGGCCAGGGCTGAGGAGCCTGGGACACAAAGACCCATCCAGGTTTACCCGTGCACTTTCTCTGGTGCTCTGAAAAGGAGGGTGAGTATTTCTCTCTAAGGGGTTAAAGTCAAAACGAATCTCATTCATTCTGTTCAAGACACATCTATCAAGTAATTCTAACTTTCTCAGATTTGGGACAGGAACGGGACAGATCTAGAATACAAAAGCAAAGTACTAGAGAAAGAAGTCAGATACAAGAGACCACGTACTGTAGGACCCCATTAAATGAACTGCCCAAAAAGGCACATTTAGAGACAGAAAGTAGACTAGTGGTTTCCAGGTGCAGGTTGGGGACGGGACTGGGCGTTGGTGGGCGCGAGGGAGGCTGCTGGTAGGTGAAAACATCCTGAAACTGCCTTACGGTGACGGCTGCGTGAAGTTCGAAAATCACTGAATTGTACATCCTAAACAGGTGAATTTTATGCCATGTAAAATATGTCTTAAAAAAAAGAGAGGGAGGGGCGAACAGGACGAGAATTCATGACAAGAAAGACAAGGCAGGGAGACGCCCACTGTGCGGGCCACAGAGCCGTGTGGCCAGGAGAGCTCCCTGAAGGGGGCTTTGGAGACTTGGGAGTCGGTCTAAGGAGTTAACAGAGACACACAGGAAACGTGAGAAACGCTCCCAGTAGCTCACCAAACAGGCACACAGGGGCAACAAACACGAAGTTTTCCTCAGTCCTACGTGAGGCAGAGTAAACTCACCCCAGTTTCTTCACATATTCAAGATATCCGATGAGGATCTCGTGGTAGACGGCTGTGCGGAGGCAGCGGGGCCGGAAGAAGTGGATGGAATCCAGGTAAGATATGTACACTCGCCTGGAAGGGCGGGAGGGAGACTCGTTTAAAACCGAGGAAACCCTCCACAAGCACCCAAAAGGCTCTAGAGATGGGTTTTGTTTTTGATAGCGCTCCCATGGGCACTAAGACGGGACACGCTGTGCTCCCATCACCAACTGGGGCTGCCCGTCGGGGAAGGAATTCAGCCTTCATCGCTGAGCAAAGAAGGGCAGGTACCATGTGCCATGGCACCATGCAAAGACGAGAGCGGACGAAGAGCCACCTTCGGTGCCCCCCACCTGGATTCTCGATGGAGAGTAACACACATTTTACAGGTGAGTTAAAAAAGGCCTGGCTCCTTGAGCATCCCCAGCCCGCTCCCTCAACGTCCCTCTTGCCTGGGTTTACCTGTCCTAGACGAGACCCGCGTGCTCCCAGCACATCCCTTGGCTTGGTAAATTAACTGCGTGTTTTAATCCAGCACCGAGGCACATAGTTTCCTTGACACGCCCCTGGCCGTGGTCTGTTAGAACCCACCACGCTAGAACACTGCCCGCCAGGAGACAGAAATTACCTTGTGTTTGGAGGGGGGCAGTCAGAGCCATACTCCTGGACGTGCATTCCAAAAAAGCACACGTCCACGCCATCGATTTCCTCAAAAGCAAAGAGCGCTTTGGTTCGGTATGGGAAAGATTCGGACATTTCTCCGGAATCCACAAACCTGAAACAAAAGTGATAGTGTGACGTTTGCATGCATTATTGCTCTACAGGTGTTGGCACAAACTAGACCCATGGTTCTGAACCTGGTCAGTGCAGAGAGCTACGGGCTCAGCCCGCCCTCCCGACCACGGCTGCAGCTCCTCCCGTGGGCCTAGCCTCACAACCACAACGCCGTTCATTTAACAGGAGCGTTAACTGTCTTAAACGACTTGGAAATACTGCTTGGAAGGCAAGACTTGAAATTACGGAATTAAACTCAAAAGCACGGCCGAAAAGGAGGCCGTCTGTCATCTGGGTGGGGGAATTCTAAACTTCACCCCACAAAGGGCACGCACGCACCGTGACTTCATGCCCGGCTTGACCTCCACAGTCTTATCCGAGCTCGCCACCACTCTGACAAAAACCTCCCCAGCTTCAGGGTGATTCTGGCGCCGCAAAAACTTGTTCACGCGGTCTTCCAAGTGGTTTCCCAATCGTGTCGTCTGCAGCCCTAGAAATCAAGACAAAGTGAGCGGGCCCAGGTGTGGCTACTGAGACAGTCCGCTGGGATCTCAGAGTTCATCTTGTGTTCTTTCAATGTGGTCTGACATTTTAAAGGATTAAGCTCCCAGTGCAGAAGGGCTCATCTGTCCTGGGATGCCAGCATCTTAGGAACACTGTCTGGGCATGGGACTTGGCCTGCTCTCCCTGAGGGTCGGGAGGCGCAGGCTTGGGAGGTGGACAATGCAGATGTATGCAGTGGCGGGGCCTCCCTCCCACCCAGCTCTCAAAACAGTCCCTATGGAGTCTAAAACGACACAGAGAATATTCTGGAACAGGCTAGCCAGCACATCCCCCTAGGGCTTTGCTATTTTGAGTGCTGTAAATTTTATCATTTTAAAAACAAAACAATTCATCTGGAGGCAGACAGACACTGGAGCAGTATTCGAATCTGGCCCAAGCACCCCCATCTCGCTGTGTGAGAAGGGCCTGCTTTCAATGAAGGCTGGGCTCCCGGGCTGGCTCCGCCGCCTCCATCTCTCCTCCGAGCCTGCCCCAGGCTTGGCCGCCGTGACATGTTACAGGGCGAGTTACAGACAGGTGAGAGGACCCTAATGATAGTATAGAAACTCCTTACACAGAGAAGAAGACCAGAAGGGAAAATAGCAAAAGGCTAAAAGTGATTATTTATAGATAAGATTTTAAAGTGGTTTACCTCTTTGTATTTATTGATTTTTGATATTTTCTACACTAATGAGAAATTTTAAAAATAAAGCTATTTGGGATTTTAGAATCTTCCTAACATCAGCACACCGAGTTCTGCCGCACCGAGACCGCTCCCTAGTTCTCCACAGAAACGGTGGTTCATTCATTTCTTAAGCCACTCGCTTCCACAGCTGCATCACTGCTCGCCCCGCTCCACGGACACCCCTGTTCACGCCCTCGTGCAGGTGTGCAAACCCGTCTACAGGACACATGCCTGAAGGTGGAACTGCTGGGCCTACAAACACGCATTATAAATTGTGCCCCTCCCCTCCTCCAGCCTTCCACTTCCACCCACAGGCAAGCCAGGGCGTTTATCCCCCGACGGGACCCAGTCCTTCAGCCTTTTCCTTTCTTCACCTCTGGGTGGTGTCTTTTTCAGAAAGGCTTTTCATAACCAGGTAAAAATACTCTTGTATTTTCTGGAATGTGCTTGTAGTTCTGTTCACTTTTCCCCTTGTAATCCACTTACATTTAGTTTTGTGGATGGTGTGAGGCAGTGGTGTGCTTTTAAATGGGTGTCAGCAGTTCCAGTATCAGTCACTGACTAGTCAGGGGGAAGACAATTTAAATGCTAAGTCAGCGCAAATACGGAAGGTTTACGGCAATGGTTCTTGTATTAATGAGGCAAACCTTTACCTGGTGACCTACAGACATGCACAGAAAGAACATGTGATAACACATGTTCATACAAAAGACAAGGGGCGACTTTAGAGCCCCAGGCTCTCCTGCAAGTCAGCACCCGACGTCTAACTCTAAAGGTCTCCTGCCGAAGGTCCAAACGTCTTTCTCCACTTTCTCTGGACACTGCAGTAGGGTGGGGGCAGTGCCAGCCTCCGGGGCTTTTGGCCGTTTCTACACACCTCCGCCTCCCACCCCTTCCAGCCGTGACTGCTGGTCTATTAAGGCCTAGCTCTCCTGGTGATTCTGTTTTGGTCACCGAAGCTCTGGCCCAGAAAAGCGCTAACTCGCTGCCCTGCTTTAGAGATCTCAGTCAGGATGGAGCCTCGAAAGCAGTGGTTCTTAAACGAGGTGATTGTGCCCTCAGGGACATTTCTGACTGTGGTCACTTGGGGAGGAGGTGCTGCATAAGGTAGTCCAGGCAGTCGAGAACTGACTGTATGCGGATCGAATAATCAGATGTGCAAACTACTGCTGTCTTAAAATAAAAAAAAAAAATGCCCGAAACTATTGCCCTGAGATAATCTTCAAGCCTTAAACCAAAAATATCAAACAGCAGCTTAGCTAAGTTAGAAAAGAACATCTCCCTTGAGCACTGACCTCTTTTAAAGAACTATCTATATGGGCTCAAACCAACAACTCTAAGGGTTCGATAGGAAGCTTAGGGGGCAGCGAGTTTATGCCAACGGGGGAGGGACAACTCAGAAAAGAGAATGAGAATGCTTGCACAACTTGAAGAATGTAATCAATACCACTGAACTGTACATCTGGAAATGTTGAGTCAGTGGATGTGTTCTGCTGTGTACATTCTCAACACAACCAAAGGTAAACCATTAAAAAAAAAAAAAAAAAGCCAACCTACGAAAGTTCCTTTCAGCAGCCACAGGTTGCTCTTTTTACAGATGTACAGACACCACCAGCTGCTCTCGTTGTGGCAGGGACACAGCGACCTGGTGCAGGCCAGGCTCAGAGCACTCGCAGTGGTGGTGGCCTGGGTGCGTCCTTGCCTCACACGAAGGACTCAGCGCCCCTCTGATGCCCTGGGACTCAGCGTGCTGATCATCGGAACGCATCAGCGCAGGGGGGTGTGTGTGTGCGTGTGTGTGTGCGTGTGTGCGTGTGTGCGTGTGTGCGCGTGTGTGTCTTATTTCTAAGCTCCTTGAGAAGATCTGCTGGCCCATTTTATCGCTCAGAATTGACAAAGTTTATTGTACATCTAAACTTTCATCCAAAACACTCATCATAAAGCTGACTTTCATGTGAAGACCATGCCAAATGATTCCCTTTCGGGGTGAGACGGGAAAAGGACAGAGGCCAGGAACCGGCCTCACGGACACAAGCCCTCGACAAGCTCCACAGGCGCGTGCTGAGAGGGGCCAGGGCGGGGAGAACGCAGGCACAGCCCGGACAACACACACCTCCCGCACTTAGGACAGAAGACAGGAACACGCGGGCAAGTTTCCAAAACGGACAGCCTCCCGCAAACTTACTCTTCGCGCTGAATTTGTTTTCTTTTCGCGTTCTCCCCGTTTTCTTCAAGCAGTTGTCGCAAACAAAGCTACAAAAACAGTAACGGGTGTGATCAGACGGTACGAAACACTGTGTGTTGCCAAACCGATGAAATCAGCATTCAAATGCTTTGTTGGCAGCTTAATTCACATCATTATAAAAAAGGGAAGAGGCAGACTGCTTTAATTCTCTAATTCCTGGAGCAGGCAAACACCCAGACTTAAATTTAGCACCAGCTGCTATCCATCTTAATTGCTGACTGTGTTCCTACTGACAACAATGAATGGGACGCAGCCAAAGCAGCAGACACCTTCCCTTCCAGTCGGTGCAGAGGGCTCCCCCTCCCGCAGGATGACAGGAAATTACCTACCCCGAGGGCCAAATGATGTCATAGTGCAGCACGCAAATCTGATGCATCTTCCGGCCACACTCCTTGCAATCCACAAACCTAGAAGACAAAGGAAAAAGGCGGTCACGCTCACAGCCACGTGCACGGAGCTGTGCGTCCTCACGCTCCTGGTCACTTTTAGTGTGTGTGAAGTGAAGCCACGGGGGTCGACTCAGCCATACTTGTTAAAAAGGCAGCAATGTGATACTTCCTACAGGAAAAGTGGACTTTCCCCTTCTGTGTACAAACACCCTCTTCTTGTCCCTTTGCAACCAGAAACGAAACAATTTGTTTTTAAAAATTGCTACGATGGAGCTGTGACAATGTATTTTCAAGACCAATGCCTTCTCTAGGTGCTTTCACGCACCTACCCTGACTTACAGGAAAAAAAGAACAATACTTTCAGTGTTACAAACACTTGCCCTTCAGTCTAAGATTCTTCAGGATTCCCAGATGGGGTGGCCGACGGGGGGAGCTCCGCCAGGGCAGCCACACCAAACGTGGGCGTGGGAGCCGGTCTGCGCTCAGCAGCTGATGAAGGGCGCCAAGCGTGGCCCACTGCACGGGCCAAGGCTTTACTCAAGTGCATGCTGGAAAAGCACGAGGGGGTGGCCTGCCCGCCGCCGACTGCTTGCAGGGGAGCGTGGAACCAGCTTGGCCTCCCCCTCTGCAGCAGCCCCTCCACAGCTGCACGTCGGCTCTGTCATCTCGACACCGCTTCTCCGGGGAACCTTAAACTGAGAGCAAACCTTCGACTCTCCATTCCCTCCCTTACTTCCATCACACCTCACGGAAGGCTGAAGGGACTGGAAAGTATCGATTGTTCCTCACGTGACCTGGGCCAGGCCCCTCCTGCCAAGCCCAGAGGCCGGGCTGTGGACGCGATCCACACCCCCAGCACCTGCCCAGTCCCTTGCCCCCAGTCTCTCCCAGTCCTGGCTGTGCACGCCTTCACCCTGGGATCTACCCAACCACTCAGCTTCTCTGTTCCTGTTCTGCTGGAAAAGAGAAGGCACACACGCTCCACTGCACAAGGCGGCTGCACGGCTGCCTCCTGTCCGCGGGACTCCCAGCCCCTGCTCGGCTGGGCCCTCCTCTCCCGGGCAGCTCCGTCGCTGAGACCTCAGCACCAGAGAATCGGAAAGGTCAGGGTCTGTGAGCCCTCAGTTTCTGTGTCCCCCCCAAACGCTCGTCACGCTCAGCCTCTTCCTCCCAAGCAGAGAGGAGAAATGTTAAGAAAATCCACATGCGCTCTGGCCCCCGTCCACCGAGAATGGAATTCCAGCCTCCCTTGCAGCCCGTCCTTGAGGTCTCGCCTCCCCCTGCCTCATCCGTCTCTCTCTTGTCTAACTGAAGTTCATGGATAAGTGTCTGGGCGTCCTCACACCTGACCTTCTTCAGGCACCGAGCTGACTGACCAGGTGGCTGGAACTGCACTTTGGAAGAGGACCGCGTCCACCGCTAGGCCCTCCTCTAAGGCCTTTCCCTCGGTACCTATGAGGCTCTCCCAAAGCCGTTTCTCTGGGTCTCCTCTGGCGCTCCCTCGTAGGCATCTGCCGACCTGCACCAGTCCTCCTTCCCCTCTCTACACCGGCTTCTCAGCGGGGCCTGCTCACCACTAGCATCCGGGGAGCTTGCCTGAGCCCCGTCTGGGAGGTGAGGGGTCAGGGTAATCCTCAGCTGGAACTCAGGGCCACCGATGCCAAGTGTCCCTGCTGCTGCGGTTCATCTCTGTGTGGCACTTCAAGCTCATGATGTTAAAAGCAGACCATGTATCACATTTCCAACACCGAGAGGGCGCTCAGTAAGCAGCAGCTACTACTTGCGGGGACACCTGTGAGTCCCACCTGGACAGCTCCCTGCCCGCCCTCCCCGCAGCACGGCCTCCTCTGCCGCCAACGGCTCTTGCTGTGGTTCAGTCCTCTGTGTCTTGCTTCGGTTGCTGCTCTGTCTCCTAAGTGGTCTCCCTATTAGAGACCAAAGTCTTTTCCTCTTCTGATCAGTTCACCTCACAGATCCAGGGTGATTGTTTTTGTTTTAATTGTGCTTTAGGTGAAAGTTTACAGGTCAAGTTAGTATCTCATACAAAAATTTATGCACACATTGTTATATGACCCCAGCTGCTCTCCCTATAACATGACAGCACACTCCTCCTTTCCACCCTGGATTTCCCATGTCCATTCAACCAGCTCCTGACCCTGTCTGCCTTCTCATCTCACCTCCGGACAGAAGCTGCCCATTTAGTCTCATGTATCTACTTGAGCTAAGAAGCACACTCCTCACGAGTATCATTTTATGTCCCACAGTCCAGTCTAATCTTTGTCTGAAGAGTTGGCTTCAGGAATGGTTTTAGTTCTGGGTTAACAAAGAGTTAGGGGGCAATGTCTTGTGGGGTCCCTCCAGTCTCAAGTTAGACCATTAAGTCTGGTCTTTTTACTAGAATTTGAGTTCTACACTCCACCTTTCTCCTGCTCCGTCAGGGACGCTCTGTTGTGCTCCCTGTCAGGGCGGTCATTGGTCGTAGCCAGGCACCATCCAGTTCTTCTGGTCTCAGGCTGATGAAGTCTCTGGTTTATGTGGCCCCTTTTGTTTTCCTTGTGTCTTTGGTGTTCTTCACTCTCCTTTGCTCCAGGTGGGTTGGAACTAATTGACGCATCATCAGATGGCCGCTCGCTAGCTTTTAAGATGCCAGACGCCACTCACCAAAGTGGGATGCAGAACATTTCTTAACATACTTTGTTATGCCTAATTGACTTAGATGTCCTCTGATACCATGGTCCCCATACCCTCAGCCCTGCTACAGTGTGCCTCGAAGGGTTTGGTTGTGTTCAGGAAACTTCTTAGCTTTTGGTTTAGTCCAGTGGTGTTGACTTACTCCAGGGTGATTGTTACATACCAGCAACCAACGACGATCTTCGAAACCACCCCACCTCACAGAGGATCAAATCCACACGTCAGAGAACAGTGTGAGAGGCCTTCACCAAGCACCTTCGGCTGCCTCAGGCGCCTTCCACCTCATCCCCGGGGCCCCCGCACCCCCACACCCCCACCTGTCCATCCACTCCAGGCTACTTGTGATTTTGTTGAACATCTGTGTCCTTTCACTCGTTCAAGTCTAGAATGCTCTGTTCTCGCCCTGCTAAGTGCCACCTTCTCCAGGAAGCAGAGCCCCTCGTGACACCACCTAGCCCAGAGCACCCTTGGGCCTGCCCCTGGGCCCACCCTGTGGCTGCCCGCTGTCTGTGCTGCGGCTCACCTGTCTCTGGACTATGAGCGATGAAGAAAGGCGGCCCCTTACTCACCCATGCGTCACCACCGCCTGGCACCCAGGGTCAGGACACAATGCAAGTTGAAATTTAATAGTGAAGATAAATTGCAGCGAAATGGAAAACTGCAGGGGGACCACAGTATGAGAAGGGAGCCGGGAAATCATGAAAACCGTGCAGTGGGCGTTAAAGGTACAGGTGGCATTTGAGGGGAAGGCCTCCTCATGCTCAGGCCACACCTCTGTTAGTTAGTGCTATCCCCACTCCTGGGCGCCGGGTTGGCAGCAGAGGCTGTGTCACCTGCCAGAAGTCCAGCTAGCCCTCGTAACTAGGCCTGAGTGGGGAGTCTGTGTCTTCCAGGGCAGCGATCAGCTTCCCTGGAGCTGGGGGGGCCGGGGCCGAGGGGAGCAAGGCTCGATTTTCAGCTCTGGACGTGCCACATGCCACAGTTCCCCAGAACTCGGCGTTGCCGGAGCCCACGCTCACCGAGCAGCCCCCGACAGGCTTCACCACAGTGACAGAAAACAGCGGGGATCACCACACTCTGCTGTGGCCCACAGAACTCGGCCTGGGTACTTGGGAGGAGGCCACCAAACCCAAGGGACTCTGAGGCCTCTTTAAGAGTTATTTCAAAGCAAATTTTGCAAACGCAGAGTTCTCATTTATCACTGTAGGAAAAGCAAAGTGTTTGCCAATGGCCTTGGAAACCAGACTATACCAAAGACAGTGGCAAGAACATACCCTGGGCTTCCTGTTATTCATTTTTAGAAAGTAGTTTTCTGACAGAGTTTCCTTCTGAAACTGCCCTTTAAACGATACGCTAATCTGTCCAAATAGTGCTGCCTCTGCTCTGAAGGGTCTCACTCAATGGCTTCTTAAAGTGATGAGCAAGTTATCAGAGAAGTCCTTAACTAAAACATCCACCTGCTCTTATTATTGTCAAACTATTCAGTAACTAAAAAGTACGTTAGACATAAATCTTTGTGTGAGGAAAAAGAATCCCTATCTAAAATATAACTTCACACAAGAAATTATGAAAGTCTTCCATGACCCAAACAAAATGTTAACTTTCCTGATTTGAAACTAAGATCTGAGAGTCAGAAGAAAGAAATAGCTATATACTCACGGTTCAGGGTCTAATGTGTCATTTTTCTTCTTTTCAAACTGATCCTTTGAAATTGTCCTTGTTTCAAAAAAAGAAAAGAAAAAAATGTTAATAAAATTATCTCTTGAGCATTAACTATAAGATCCCTAGAAATATGTTTCATAACTAGTTTTTTAAATTTATTTTCATAACTAGTTCTTAAAATGAAAAGTAAATGGTCAGTAGATGTAACGATGACATGAATATAAAATGTAATTCTGCTGAAAGCATGACCATTTATTTTTCTCTGTCTTCCTTGGAGTATTTCCTCCCAACTACCATCAGCATTTACTACAAAAAAAATTTAATTAAGATTAGTCAAAATATGATGACAAAATTGAGTTGAGATTCAAACCTGTTCATCTTCAATCAAGTCTACAAGATGGAAGCCTGCTGAATTTGACTGATGTTAGTGCAACCAATTCGTCTAATCACAAAATTCCCTCAAGGCAGCCAGGTCAGCATCCACGCGGGGATGTTTTACCTACTCTTAAGGGGCTGAGTACTTGGGTTTCTACTGTCCTTTTGTGATCATAGGTGCAAATGTGAACTGCTTTTGCGTCACAGAATTACCCACAGCTCACCCCCCTCACTGGGTGTGGAAGCCCTGGAGAACAGGGGGCCTGGTCTGAAGAGAAGAGAGAAGCACAAAATGCTTGCCACCCTGGGCAGATTTGGGGGACCGGCAGCTTTTTAGGTGTCCCAGGTATGTAAACGAGCTGATCATCCAATTTGAGGACTTGCTTTTTCCTTGCCACATTCTGGTCATTCTACCACTCACAGGTAACTATCAGAAGAGTAGCACTGGGTGGGGAGAAAAAGATCAATTCAAGGAGGGAAAGAAACTCGTTCCTGTTGGTTTTGGAGCTAGTGGACAACAGTCCAACCACCAGCAGGAACAGGACGTATTTACACTTCGGGTCAAAAACTGAGCTTTGAAAATACTGGAATCTCATTACTGATCTGCATTTTACTGGCTCAGCAACTTAAAGATAAACTAAACTAAGCACACAAGTCTTGGACACAAGACTCACTGTTTGGTGCTGCCAATTCTGTGAATAGGTTTACCTGGTTTCTCAGGTGTAAATGAAAATTTATAATTTCCCCAAACAGACGTTGACCACCACTAGGGAAGCAAGTCCTTTAACAGAAGAGACACGTCAGGGTCAGGACAGACCACTGAACTGCATTACTTCGTGGATGGGGGGAAGAATGTGGAGGTGGCATCGGTATTGAGCTAAATCACCAACGTTTTTAAGTATAAATGAGTGTGCGCACACACATTCAAATCAAATGTGTACATAGTTGATATGAAAAAATACACTGCACAGAAATCAAAATGGCAGTGGGGCTTGCCTTTTAATCATGGACAGGAGGAAAATAACTCAAGAGTCCCCCCAGGACTTGAAAAACGATAGGACGGTACTTACGTCTGGGGCTGTGAAGGGTCGTCACCCAGGGTAACATTCTCCCCCTGGATCTCTGTGAAACACTTCTCACAGAAATGATACCTGTCAGCAAGAAGGCCATACTTGGGTGAACTGGTCCATCATAACACACAGCCACCCAAGCAACGAAGCCACCAATCAGAGCAGGGCAGATCACCACGACGAAGGGGGGGCGTTGTTGGTTGATTGATGGGTCAGTGAGCACAATGAGAGGAACAGAGGGCAGGTGGGGAAGGGCAGGATTAGAGAACAGGGGAGGGAACAAATAGCACAGACAGAAAGGTAAGACGCACACACCAAGACAACACAGAGCAGAAAGCCAAGGCAAAGCATCGATTAGCACTCGGTCTCGTTGCACACGTCACAGGCCATCACCCTAACAACGACAGGGCAGTCCGGCCTCATTGCGCACATCACAGGCCATCACCCTAACAACGACAGGGCAGTCCGGCTCCGGGACGCCCATCTTTTCAAGGTGCTGTTAATACTAGAATTGCAGGGAGCCTCAATTTAGGAATTCGAATTCTGTTATCACTTAGAGAAAATCAAATACAACTCCAGGGTTTGAGATGGAAAAAATTTACTTTGAACAAAACAGTCTGACAAAAGGCCTAAGAAGGCAATTTAAACTGAAATAGCTTTAATTTGTCAAAATGGAAAATTTATGCTTGACAGCAATTCAGAAATTTTATTTCTGGCATTAAGCCAGATCTTTAAATGTATGGAAATTTGAATACCCAGAACTAGTTTGAATTTTCTCCTGTTATTTTTCTCATATTAATCACGCAGTTAGTTGGGCTACAATACAAATGAAACCAAATCCATATTCTAGACAAACATTTAACAGAAATGCAGTTGGGTTCAGAGACTTTCCAGCCATTTATCTATAAGTATAGAGAAAAGAAGCTGTGATATATTGTATAAACAATACAATATATGCAAATTCATCAACAATCTTAAGACGTTTAAAGTTCAATTCTAAGCTTCGGTTTAGAATTTCTGGTCCCAGGACCTATCGGTCGTCAATATGAGATCTTCAGTGAGGGACTGCTCTGGCTTAGTGACAGCCCAAGTGAAGCAAATTTAGGGTGAATTTTTTAAGCACAATCTGCATTTGAGAAACTACCCATTTCCCCAATTTTTTGTAAGGTCATAAGGAGCCTGGGCTCAAGCTATCAAATAAGAAGGATTAAAATAAAAACTATTAAATGTTTGGAAAGGACATGAATGAGAGAAAAAAAAAAACCAACAGAAACGCAGGCGAATGCTGCATAAAACAAGATGGGCACACAAGAATACTGTGAAACTGAACAAGCTGAACAGAGGTGGACAGTACAAGCAGAGGATGGGTACAGTAGCGACGCAGCACGATCAAATGCGGTTTTAGTGTTCAAAACTACATCTACAATGCCAAGAACGATTAGTATTGTCACGAGACTCAGAGTGCCACACTGAACCAACAAGCGGAAGACGGAGGCGGCAGAGCGGCCTACGTATGTATGCACGCACGCACGCACGCGGAGCTGCGAGCTGCCGCAATCCCGGCCTCCGCGTGGCCACGCATGCCTTCGTGACCTCTAGCACAGGCTCCACAAGTTCCACTGCTAGCCTTCACCCATCCAGGGAGCATTCGGGCTGCTGTGTCTCACTGACCAAACACGTAAACTTGGAGCATACAACTTGAGAGCACGCGCAACATCTCGAGGGCATGCCACGTTTCACGTTTTGTCGCAGAGGAACATGACTGGCTCTCAGTAGGTAGTGACTGAGTTAATCAGTTTCTTGCTGGACTAGTTTATTTCGGCTCAATTCAAGTAATACACTCTGCCATGACTAAAAGCTCTTACCAGGAAAAACCAGATTACCACTGATGTTTTTTAAGAAAATATCTTTATTTTTTAGAATGAACTATAGTGGTATTCTGGCTATTCACTACTCTTTGTAAATCACGTATTAAGGACAACTTCTGTGTGCAGAAGGGCACCGTTATCCCTGACCAGAAAGAATTAAGGTACAGAAACTATAAACCAATTCAGTGGCAACGAGAACAATATGGAAAAAAGACATCCCCTCGACTCCAAGTATTTCCCTTGTAAAACTAAAACCTGGAATTGAGTGTTCCAATTCATTATACGATCAAACACACTGTCACTGTGAGCTAGCTAAAAAACAGGTGTTGAACACATCTTTAAATGAAACTGCCACGATAATTACATGCGAGTCTAAAGGTTTTTAAAATCCTGGACAAATTCTTTGCTTTTACTCAGTCAGGACCATCAAGCCCAGGAACATCCAGGAAACAAGAAATCATAAACTCATCATTTTCCAACAGAGAAAACTGACAGAAAAAAGCGCTGATGGTTGAATGCCAAACCCTCGAGTGTTTGCAGAAACTTAAACTCTCTGTTTGCAACCAATTCCCCAGTCCTGAAAAATCCCAGGATCAGCAACCTGGGAGGGACAGAGTTAATACACTCAACTGCCTGTCCCCAAAGCAATGCCAGAAAAACTGGAGAATCGAACCTATTTATGTTCCGGAAGGGGGGAGGGAGGTGCCCCTGGTCTCACTTTATTGCCTTTTGGAGAGAGATGAATACAGCAGGGAGCGGGGTAGGGGTCACCCATCCAGTTAAATTGGTGAAAACAACCCTGGCAACCAATGGGGGCAGATGTTGATGCCAAATGGCCCCTATCTTATTACCTAGTCCACATTTTATTCACCCTGGAAATCCATACAGGTTCAGAAATTCACTCAGAAACTTGACAGCGCAGACAACACTCTGCCTTGTTTCAAGGCAGCAGTGTGATGGACATGGAGGGGTGGCAGAGAGGAAACACTGCACGGCAGCTGATGGTGATGCACGTCTGGGGACCGACAGCACACGTCACGGCATAGTTTGTCTTTAAGGGTGATTTAATGTATGGAGTAAGTTCTCAAATGCAGATTGTTTAAAGTACCATTTAATATAAAATAGCTGGAAAATCTACAGACCAGTTGTCCCACTGTGAGTTACTTTTAAGCTTTCAAGTATGGAAACAAGTGAAAATGTAACTATGCACTAGTTTATGTATTAGAGTTTCACTTGTTTAAACAGTCTGTAGACCTTTCTTTTGTTCTAAGTGCCTAAACCGTTCAGGACTCCCAGTGCCAAAGCCACGATTTTTAAGAACACTATTGTGTTTGTGAGTCACTCAGGTTGAGAATGAAAAGGTAAGGAGCTAAGATGCCAGTCACAGAATTAGGCCACTACTTTTTGAGAATTACACCATGTTCATCGACTCGCCTGCAGGATCCTAGCAAGCCCTGAGAGGGTTAACGAGAAGCAGTACGCCTCTGCTTTAAAACGTATCATTAAAAACAGACCTCCGTGACTTGCGTTTCCACTCTTAAGAAAAATACATGACTTTCGTTCAGTAAAAAGGAAGTTCTATAGAAAAACAAAGTTGGACATTTCAGAACTTTCGGAATAGTCCTGGATTTGCACTCCATCAAGGTCCATGCCTCCGAGACAGCAGTAGTGTCCCTGATCCCATCCATTCTACTTCATTTCAATGGCTCTCAACTTAGACACAGCCAAGCCCAAAGGCAGGCTCACAGATGGTCCAGGGAAGGTGATGCCAACAACAAGAAGGCACCAAATGCTTTAGAATCATCTGTAAGCCTGTGGGCGGCACCTAGACACCGACATGTTCTTCCTTCCAGGCCAAAATGTGCTGGGCCACCTGGTAGCAGGGGTGCTAATTTTAGGTATTGTTAACTTTTAACCTGACCTCTTAACATTTGGTAACAACTATGTTTTGCATGGCACATAACAATTTTCAAAGTGGGCTCCTCTTATTTCATTGGAGATCGACAACACAAGGTTGCCAGGGAGGATGCTCCTGTGCCCAGGCCGTGGGTGAGATGGCTGTGCTTGACACATTAAGAGATGTGCTCAAGGTCACAGGGCTAGAGCAGTAAAAGGAAGCAATGAGGCCAGAACTTCCAGAAGAACCCCTTATCACCACAGGAGAAATCCCAGTAGGAAGGACCTGTGCTACCATTTCAAACTCTGTCTTAAAATGCTTCTATTGAAAAAAAGGAAAGTTAAGACAGAAGTTAAACTCCAAATGTTAAAGTATTTTTGACAAGACAGTTGTGTGGGCCGTGATTCTAGTACAGACTTTCTGGGGATGTCCACCTTTCATCTGTAACAGTATTTCATGGTACTGGGAATCAGTGGGCAGGCGAGGCTTAGATACCTTTCTGGAGACATTTTTGTGTCAATAGTTCTTTTATAAGAAAATAAGTTTTTGATGGGAGTTATACATTATCTTGAACATGGTTAGATTTAAAAAAAATAGAATAATTAAAAATACTTGAAGATAAAGGAATTTCAAAATTCTAAAAATTCAAAATGAAAGGTCTGTGGATATACCTTTGGACCAAATAACAAAATACCCTCTATCTATCCTCTTTGAAATATCAGAATATACGTGATTACTGTAACCAAACAAGATCAAAATAATCAAAATACCAACCCCTAACACTAACATTTAATACTGAACATAAAGAAGAAAATAGCCACGAAGCACCATCTTGGTCACAAAGAGTCTAACAGCTGATTCATAAAATGGAGGTCATGCTACTGAGAGTTGTATCTGCTTGGGCAACCAATATCCAAATTGTCACTCTCTCTCCACTGAAGACAGCAGAGCTATTCTTCAGCCAGCTTCGCATTTGAAGAGACTGGCAAATATTTCTCAAGCATACCCACCACTCACAAAACCCTGAAAGAGTCATCTTGTAATAGGAGAGTTATTCTTCAACGCCATCAAAACACCAGAGCTCATTTTGCACTGGGTTACTAATTTAAAATTAAAAAATAAAAGCCAAAGACTTTTTTGTGGAGTACCACTAATGCAAGTCTTTCCATCAGACTTCTCTGGCCAAATTATTTAGACAAATATTTGCGAGCAGAAGAGTAAAATGCAATTTTTCTAATCTACGAATATCTTGAAAAAGGCAACGTCAGCCCTCCTCAGAGTTCCTCTCAGCTCCAGCCCCTTGCTTACATGATTACATTTTACAAAGACCACGGCTTAAGATTGAATGTACCCAATTCAAGTACTGTAGCAGGCCATTTTAAGCTTAAATTTTTATACTACAAAGGACTAAAAAAAAAAAAAAAAGGCTTAAAATAAAACACGGGCTTATTTGAATGACCCAGAAACACTGAAATAAAGGCACTTTTCATTGTGCCAGTGTCAGGAAACAATGTACCCTGGCTACATCAGATGAGCCGCCTTGCCTTGAGAGTGTACTGTGCTCGCTAATGCAGAAGGCCACGTGATGCTCACCTATTCTGGTAGCTGTAGTAGGCGGCGTCTCGAGGAATTGTACACAACTGCTTCCCGTAGCAGCACAAAGTCTGTGGGGAAAACTCATACTGCAAAACAAAGGAGAAAAATACTCAGAACATATCCCATTTACCTTCACGGAATGTTCTACTTCACTATGGAGAGTTAAGGTTCAACTAGTAAATGATTTCTGTTAGTATGCATGGATCGTTTTCTAACAATCCCCATGTGCCAGAGTGGGTACGGTGCCGGCTCTGTGAGACTCTTACTACAGACGACGAAATGGCATGGGGCAGCTAGAAACGCTTAACCCAAGGCTCACCCAACAAGCACCCCATTACACAACTTCAGGCAACCAACGGTTTTACAAAAGGCCAAGCTCCAACTGGGCACCCCTTCCCCTTAGGTTCCATCAGAATGTTGAGTCTGTATCATTATAATTTATCATTCTATAATTATCATTATAATACTCTTCTGGGCTAGATTAACCAAGAAAAGTTCACCTTCCAGAAAAAAGTAAAATCGTACCTTGCGTCCACAACAATATCCAAGGGACTGCATAACAGGGTCAATTTCTTGTTCAAAGACCTCGGCAAGTTTGCTGCAAAACTTATATACCCGGGATGTCTTCCGATTGTAGAGCCAGGCATTGTTAAACATGAGCCAGACATCGTCCACATACTGCCAGGGCTCCTGGTACTGCCCTGTATCCAGCTTCCGCTTGATGGTGGAAAGGTCCATGGGATTCTTCACAATGTCAAAATAATCCTTAAAAACAAAATGGTCTCAGTCTAATGGGTCCCCAAATTCCAAATGCCAGCTGTATCTTTGAAAACAGTCAAGTGAAACAGAAGTAGAAGATACCAGAACAACTTCCCTTCCCAGTAGTAAGAAATGGGCATTGAACAGAAAATCACCTCTGGTTTCCCTCTCTAAAATTGTTAACTGATATTTTCCAATGTGATCAAATTACCTCAATGGCAAAGTGAGATTAAAAATAGTGTTAAGTGAATTGTTTAGTGAAGATTTTTAAAATAAGAATTTTAACCTAATTGATTGATAAGGATGAACAAACTTATCGGACAATGTTTATTTCTAGAGATTCACTCCTTATCCTAGCAAGCAAAGTGGAACTCCAAGACAAAAACAAGAATGGCTACCACAAAGCAGAATCTTCTGGGTCACCACAGCCCTTGCAAGTGACACAGGGATATCAAAGTGAGACGCCCAGGTGTTGTCTTCGACGTTCACCAATTCTTTACACCAATGCCTGTGGACAAAGTCTCACACAAACCCCCCCATAAGGTGAGGTCACAGAGGCCACCAGCATCAAGTGGAGTGGCCCAGACACGTGTCCTCCTCCACCCCAGCGGCACCTCTTGCCATGGGCCCTGGGGCTCAACGGAATGCGTTCAAAATTTGAAAAAGAAATTTTTTTAAATCAATAAGATAAAGGTGTATTATTGTTTTGACAGAAAACAAGCTTTTCTATTAGAAGAAAGATCTTCAAAGGAAAGGGGTTATTTTACCCAATTTTAAGAGATAATGGATACTCATAAGTCACACTGGAAAAGGTTCATTGTTGCTACATGTTACGGATTAAACTGTGTGCCCCAAAAATATGTGTCGTAAATCCTAACCTCTGTGCCTGTAGTTATAATCCCATTTGAGAATGGGTTGTCTTTGTTATGTTAATGAGGCAGGATCAGTGTAGGGTGTATCTTGAGTCAGTCTCCTTCGAGATATAAAAAGAGATTAAACAAGCGAGAGAAGCAAAGATGGGGTAAGACAGATGCCAGGATACATGGAGATCTCCAAGGAACCAGGAAGCAGAAGCTGAAGAGACAAGGAACTTCCTCCAGAGCCGACAGAGAGAGAAAGCCTTCCCCTGGAGTCAGAGCTCTGAACTCACACTTCTAGCCTATGAAACCGTGAGAGAATAAATTTCTGTTTGTTAAAGCCATCCACTTGTGGTATTTGTCAGAGCAGCACTGGATAACTAAGACAGAATTCGGTACCAAGAAGTGGGGGTGCTGCTCTAACAAACACCTACAATGTGCAAGTGGTTTTGGAATTGGCTAATGGGTGGAGGCTGGAAGAGTTTTTAAGTACCTAACGGTAAAAGTCTAGGTTGTCTTGAAGAGACTGTTGGGGGAATTATGGCCATCAAAGGCAGGTCTGGTGAGGGCTCCGAAGGACGTGGGGAGAGCTGTAGAGACTGTCTCTGTCATCTCAGAGAAGACATATGACGCCAGCAACAGGATGCTGCTAGAAGTGCAGACATTAAACGTGATTCTGGTGAGGCTCATGACATCCGGCAATACGGGAGGGCGATGGTTTTTGTGCGGTGGCAAAGAACTTGTCTGAATGATGTTCAAATATTTGGTGGAAGGCAGAACTTATAAGTGATGAACTTGGATATTCAGCTGAGGAGATTTCTAAGCAAGATCTTAAAAAGGGTCACGTGGTTTCTCCTTGCTGCTTATAGTAAAATGTAAGAGGAAAGAGATGGACTTAAAAATGAACTGTGAAAAATGAAAACAAAACTTGAACATTTGGAAAATTCGGTTGTATAAACTAAGGACACGTATCCTAGAATGTTCACCAAGGACGAGGCTACACAATCTTTTGTGAAAGAGATTAAGCCTGTGACTGATGGACATAACCGACTACCACAGCAGAAACCCATCAGCTAAGACTGCCGGGGACAGGAAAAGAACAAAAGGATGGAACGCTGTCTGCCTCTTGCAATTCTACAGGCAGGAAACAGGCCAAAGGAGCTACATCTGTTGTCTCCAGGAAAACGAAAAGGACCATTCCTGGAGCAGCTCGGAGATGAGCAGAACTGCTGGAAGGAGCACGGGAAGCCAGGCTGCCTAGGTTTCAAAGGGTGGAGCCACGGCCTCCTAGATTACAAAGAGTCAGATCCTCACCAACTCAGTTTTGGAGCGTAGGGCTGCCATTCACGAGTGCCAAGGGTTGGGGCTGCTATGTCCAGGGGGCAGAAGAACAAGGCCTGTTGGGGGCTGAGGGGGTAGGGTCACCACTCAGATGGACTGGGAGAATGGGGCCACCCAAAGCTGAGGGAGAAGAGTTGCCATCCCAGTGGGCCTGAAAGGAGGAGCTGAAGCCCAGGGGTGAGGATCCTCCACCCAGAATACAGAGGGTGTGGCCAGCACTCAGAGTCTGGAGAGTAGGGCCATTGCCCAGATGGACTCAGAGAACAGAGGATTATTTTCAAGCCTTGAGAGTCAAACTGTTCTGTTGGGTTTTGGATTTGCTTGGTGCCCATTATCCCTTCTTTCCCTTCAATTTCTCCCATTTGTAATGGAAATGTCCACCCTGTGCCTGTTCCACCACTGTACTTTGGAAGCAGATAACTTGTAGTCTAGATTTCACGGGTTCATAGATGAAGAAGAATTTTGCCCCAGGATGAAATACACCTAAAGTCTCACCAATATGTGACTTAGATGATTCAGATGAGATTTTGGACTTGGAGTTAAGACTTTTGGGATGATGTGATGGGGTGAATGTGTGTTTTGCATTTGGCAAGAAAGTGAATTTTGGGAGCCAAAGGGTGAAATGTTATGGATTGAATTGTGTTCTCCCAAAACATGTGTTGCAAATCCTAACCTCTATGCCTGTGGTCATAATGCCATTTGGGGATGGGTTGTCTTTGTTATGGTAACAGACAGGATGAGGTGGGTCTTGAGTTAATCTCTTTTGAGGTATAAAGGAGATTAAACAAGCAAGCAAAAGAAGCAGCGATGGGGGAAGAGAGATGTCAAGCCACATGAAGATTGCCAAGGAGCAGAAGCTCATAAGAGAAAAAGACCTTCTTCCAGAGCCTACAGAGAAAACCTTCCCCTAGAGCCGGCACCCTGGATTTGGACGTCTAGCTTCCTAAACTATGAGAAAATAAATTTCTATTTGTTAAAGCCATCCCTTTGTGGTATTTCTGTTATGGCAGCAGGCGATAACTAAGACACTACATTAACTTACTGGAATTCCTAGGAGCTGAGGGTCCACAGGCTGCCGAAAAGGCAAGGACTCTGGGTCCTGTCGATACAGCGCCTCCAGAGTTGGCATAAGAGCCTGGCGTAACTCCTCTGGCTTGAAGACTGCAATTAGAAAACATCAGAAAGAGACATGGTTTACAAGTCGCTCAGGCCCCTTCATCATCACCTTTAAAACAGAAGCCCAGGCTGCTTCTGAAAGCGTCCAAATGCCACCCTCGCAGGCACTCAGCTTCCCAGACACTTTCTGGGCTTTCAGTTGTCTCAAGAGCCCACAGACACTGTAAAGCTACAATGCAGGGCTTCTGAAATATAACAGCATAATTAAGAAAAAAACTGCATCCAGGTCACGAGGCAAAACACAACACTGAAAGTTTGCTTCTCAAAGGAATGGGTTTCTCTATTATAAACAATCTGTTGGGCTAGGAAATGAAGCCAGCACCTGACTCAGCTTACGGATCAAACTGGGAGGGAAGTCAAGACACCTCACTGGAAGGGGCCTTGAAACAGCCTCTGTGGAAACCTTTCTTTGCCCAAATTAAACTCACAGTACCCGAGACAAATGATTTTTTTTACGTACATAAATACATCTATGTTAAATTCTGGTAACTACATAGGTGAAAAACGTTTATCATTTCAACACTCTTCGTATGTACAGTTCAGTGATATTAAATGTTCATTATGTAGAGACAAATAATTTTGTATTAGAGCCCCATAAACAAGTGCATACAGTAATAAAGCTATAAAAGTTTAAAAACAAAACAAAACAAAACAAAACAAAATTCTGTGCTGTTCTCTCCCGCATTTACCAAGGCCAGTTTCTCCGAGCTCATTTCCTATGATACTTCTGTTGTTCCCAATACAGGACTAAACATTGGCTGCCGACACTTTCATACAAACCCCACATGATTTTAAACGACATAGGTTAGTTCACGGTGAGGGTGCTCCGGCCCCACCAGCGTATGGACGCTCTTCCACACAGAATGTGAAAACGGCTGGGAGCCGACATGTCAAAGTAGTTCCCATGATCTGGGTTATAAGTGATGCAAATATTCTTCTTTCTACTTTCTGTATATTGAAAAGATTGTCTATGATAGGCACATGGTAAACTAATTTAAAAACTGGATTAAGGCACTTGTAAACATTAAAATTCCAGTCGGGAAGTGGCACACATTATGTATGATGGCCTATCACCATTTTTGTCAGGGGTGTAACGTGTCAGATTTGGGAAAACACCACCTGATTTCCATCAGGTTAAAGTAAAGGTAAGGAGAAACCCAACTCAAGGACTTCACATCCTCCCTGTAGAGATGAAAAAGCGGTGACGCTGAGGAAGCTTGGCAGGAGTTCATTCCCGTCAGAGCCAGGTCTAATGACTCCCTCCCCAAGCCCCCTGGCTGCCTTAGACCTGGCTGCAGAACACTCAAATGTATCGTTCTCCAAGCACACACTCCCCAGCCACTCTAAAGAGCAGAAGCCTGGTCTAGTGAAATGCCTTCCGACAGCCTCACCACACACACGCATGTGCGCGCGCACACACACATGCATACACGCACCCCCGTGCCTTCAGCTAACTCGTTTTCTTCCACTCTGGTATATTCAGAGATGAAGTACTATTTGGTATTCTCTGAATAACTCTTTATAAAAATATAATTATTTAGTTAATCAATAGCTTTTTCATCCCTCTACTGCGACCCACTGGCCTAATGTGGCCAGCCACCTGCTGCTGAATGGCCCACGAACCAAGAATGGATCTGACATTTTTAAATGGTTGGGGAAAACGTGAAAAGAATAATATCTCAAGACCCATGAAAATTACATGAACTTCAGATTTTAGTATTTAAAACTAAAGTTTTATTGGTACACAGCCACTGGTGTCCATTTACATACTGTCCAGGGCTGCTCTTGTGCTACAACGGTACAGCTGCATGGCTGCACAGAGACTGACCGGCCTCCAAAGCCTAAGGTATTCACTACCTGCTCCTTTACAGAAAATGTCTGCTGATCCCTGCTCCAGACCCTCTTACCACCCTAGTGGCCATCAAAGTGATACGGCCTTCAATGAGGACTCACTTTTAGTACATCATCCCATCGTTCATTCATTCATTCAACGTTTATTTAACACCTGTGCCCAGGAAAGCATGTTCAGTCTCCTGTCTTTGACCTCCACATTTAATGTAACAAGACTCCAAATGAGCTGAAGAAGTAGAAGTTGGAAGCTGTATTCAAACCAAGCTCTCTGCTACTGATTAGTGTGGTGTGCTAGGCAGCTAGCCACTCCATTTCTCTGGCCTCAAAATCACTTCCATAAGAAGAAAAACATGCTGTGCTACGTCAGCAGTTCTTAACAGTGTGGGCCATGGGTCCCTTGGGGGAACTCTGGGCTGTCCAATATGGCAGCCACCAGCCACACATGGCTATTTACATTTAAATTAGTATTAAGTGAAAGTAAGAATTTAAGAATTCAGCTCCTCAGACACATATTTCCAGTGCTCAACAGCCACTTGTGGCTGGTAGCTGCCACAATGGAGAGACAGATATAAAATATTTCCATCATAGTAGAAAGTTCTAGTACTGCCCTAGTCCCCCCCAGGGGTCTGTGAGTTCAAAGTTACTTCCATAATACTAACGCTATTTTCACAGTAACACTAGGTGGTTATGCGCCTTTTTCACTGGGTTGACATTTGCACCGATGGGGAGAAAGCAGTGGCGGGTAAAACCGTTAGCGCCTTAGCAAAACCACGGCGGTAGCACCAAACTGTACCTTACAACCACTGTGTTCTTGGCCGCCACTGCACAATCAGGAAAAAATGCCAGGTGCGTCTCAGAATATCATTGAAGTCGTAAAAATTCCTACTCTTATTACATCTCAACCCTTGCATACTCATCTCTAACTCTGTGTGATGAAATGGGGAATTTGCATAAAGCATTTCTACCGCACACAATGGCCGTCTCCAGAGAAGAAAGTTGTGCAAGTTATGGAGTTGAGAGAAGCTAAGTAGCTGCTTTTTTTTCATGGAACACCACGAAGTTCAAAAGAAAGAATGATAGACCAACTATGGTTGTTCAGACTCGGGTATCTGGCAGACATTTTCTCGAAAATGAACAAAGTGGGTTGTTACTTCAAGGACAAATCACAGTATTTGCTGCCAATGGTAAAATAAGAGCTTTCAAACAAAGACTATAATTCTGAAAACTTGAGCTTGGCAGCTTCTCGAAATTTACAAGACTTACTTGAAGAGACTGAGTGGTATTAACAAATGTGACTTTTCAGAAAATATTCTGTAGTGAAGCATGTCACCGTCTGGAAGATCTGCATAACTAAGAGAAGCAGTCATTTCCAGGTGACCAATGGATGGCATAAGACATTCACTCAAGGGCCAAAGACCCACTCCAAGCGCAAGGTGAACGAGTGAATTGGGCCGCCACAGAGAACGCCCAAGTCAGTGCTGTGGTTCCAGATTCCACACTACAACTAGGCTCTCAGAAACTACTACCACTTGTTGAGTTTTGGTGCAGTATTAAAGCAGAATATCCACAGTTAAATGTTATTCATGGGTACCATGTAACAGATTTGTTGTATCTTTAAGTGAATTAAATATTTAAGATTTTTCTCAGTTTTAATTTCTAATGCAGTAAATAGAGATAGATAATTACATAAACAAAAACTCTTTGAGGTCCTAAATTTTAGGAGTATGCAGAGGTCTGGGACCAACGCACGGATATTCTTCTTCCATTACACACAGCTCAAATGGATTCCACCCAACCACAAGGCTGGCACCCCCGCCCCTACTCCCCTGGGCTGGAAACCCCAAGCACCTCAACTCCCCCCATCCCACTGCATGAAGTCACTGGGCCCTACCCTACCCCTCGACAACCCCCCTCCATTTTTCTTTGAGCACTTCACCCTTCACTTCTGCGCAACATAAATGTTTCCCACTAGGATCAGTGGCCTCCTACAACCTCCAGTGCATATCTGTGCTGTCGCAGTAATAATTTTCCTAAAATCACAGCTGCTTCTTTTTCTCCCAACATAAATCCTTCAATGGTTCTTTATGCCTTGCTAAGTAATGTCCACAAAAATGTTATTTATGGGTGCCATGTAACAGAGTTACTGTTAATTCTAAACGAATTAAGTATTTAAAAAATTTCTCAGTTTCTGCCCAAGGACTTGGATGCAAACTTCCCCTCTGGCCCTCCCAGCCAGCGGCATCTCCGAAGTCACCTCTGCACTCTGCGCTGGCTTCCCTAAGAGATGCAACTTGTTTCTCATTTATACCACAAAACCTCCGGGTTCTCAGGACTGGAGCCCAGCAAACTGTTAATTTCTAAAGAGAGAAAACTTGGGGAATGGCAGGCAAGAAAATAAAGGGGGAGATGACATCGTTTCTGTTTTCGCTTTGAATCCTCAGTGTGGACTCACAATACGAAGGAAAAGCAGCGCAGCTGAAGAAGTTAAAGAAACCACGACCTACTTTTTTTGCGTGGCTGCGACGGTGACGTTGACTGGGCGGCTGTTCCATTGGCACTGCTCTCTTCTTCCTCTTTCGTCTCTACTTTGACTTCGGGTTTCTTGTCGTCCACTTCCATTGGCTCCAATTTCTGCTCTGCTGTGTCTGTTTCTTCTTTAACTTGGGAAGATCCTTGTAAATCCTCCTCTATCATCTTGAGGAAAACAAAATTATAGACAATGACGTATAAATATCAAAGACCTTTCTTCCAACTCAGCCTTCCCGGGAGACTCTTGAACATCCACATGGGCTTGTTAAAAAGCCTTCCCCAGTCAGAGTGCCCTTCTCTTTCCTTTAGTCTCCCAGAAGGAGAAGTCACTTCCATACAGCACCAGTACAATTACAGGCCTGGTTTTAAAATATTTACATGTGAGAGTACTTAAAAAAAAATTACACACACACGCCCGTCGCCTGCTCGATATTTTTACATATGGCTATTTTCTAGTTGTCTTTGACAACTGGGCCTGGGTAAAATAAGTGAATGCAGCAGCATGCGTGGTGTATGGCAGTGGGGAAGAGTGGAGACTTTGGCAAACTGGATGCCTGGCCTCCACGAAGGCCCCAGCTGGGGCTCAGGTGCAGACTGCTGCCACACAGGGGGTGCGTACAATGCTGGCTGAGCCCCTCATCTTTCAAGAGAAGTCAGAAATCCGGAGTTTTCTTTGCACTGTCTCAATTTTTAAAATATATGGGGTCCAGGCAAAACTCATGTACAGGCTGGATACTGCCCACGTCCACCAGGCTGCACCTCTGCCAGGGGCCGGAGACAAAACGCACATACCCTCTGAGGTCCACCAGTGCAGGGCTAGACATGGACTGAGAAGGGCAGGGGAAAAGCTGCTGGGTGATTCACAACTGTAAAATATAAGCTATGTTCTTCATTTCTGGCAAAAATAAAATAAACCCATATCTCCTATTTAAAAAAGAACAACCAATCAGTTTTTAACCAACCTACTTCCTACATATTCCAACTTGAACTCATATTCAAACAGAATACGAAAACAACCAGGGGCATCTGCTGGGGGAGGGGGTCCCCTGATGTCTCCAGGAGGGCTTGTGGTTGCTTCCACATGCAGGAACAGCACCTACCTCGGACCTAGCCTCCCCTTTGGGCTCACGAGGCTCGGGCTCAGGCTCCTCAGTCTTGACCTCGGCCTTCATTTCAAGCACGGGCACATCGGGTCCTTGCTGCTGTGAACTGGTTTCGGCACTGGCCACCGACGATGGGGTAGGGACCCTGTTATCAATGCTAGCTGCTGCCTGGGACAGCTGTGGAAAAACCAAAATCGTTCACCTCTGTAAACAAGACAATATAAGCCATCTAAAATGCTATAGGTCATCTAATACATAACTTCGTAACATTTTCCACTATTACCTACAAAGTCAGCCCTACGTGAAAGAAATGAGCAACAGAAGTTAAAGTGGAGTTCAGTGATACTGAAGTCAGCATCAGTTAGAGATACAACTCACTTCTTGCTGAGAATGAAGAGATGAAAGCGCTTCCTAAATTTTGATATAAACTTATTTTCTTGAAATTTCCTACTTCAGTCAGAGAACTCCTACTTTACAATTAATTCCCTCCAAAAAGTTCATTAATGGTTCTGGTAAAAACTGAATTATAAATACTTAAGCGTATAAGAAGAGAAGAGAATAAAGTGCTTACACGGAAAAAAAACGTAACTAGTCGATTTACTGCGGGGTCAGTGGTGGTGGGGGTGGAGTAAACAAATAGCAAGAGAAGGAAGCATTGAAAGAATTTTACATTTTCAAAGTCTTACCCAATGGACTGTTAAGTAAACAACAGATAACATTAAACCATACGGGATCTTAACAGAGGAAGGATAAATCAGCACGTCTCCATTGAGAAACATAAACAGCGGTGCCATCTTGGGGTTACCGTTAGGGTTAATGTTGACGTTTTATAAGTAAATAACCTAAGTGCCCAAGAACAAGGTTAATGTATCCAGGAAGTCTAAATTAGACCGATAAGAAAATGGATCCTCAGGTTTCAGAGGTAGCAAGGGAGGAAGACGTGTGGGTGAAGAGACCAGCCTCTGGAGCCCCTGGTGCGGTGTGGGGTAGCCCAGCCTGAAAGAACCCGACCCCAGCCGGCAGGGTGTGGGAAGGAGCCCGTAAGCATGACTCCACCCCAAAGGGTGAACAAGCAGTTCGGAACCACAGAGTTACAAGCCTGCTTCACCATCTCAGCTCATGACAAATAAGAGGATTTTCTAGTCTGGAAAGAAGGCTAGTAGGCAAGACAAAAGCATATCCAACAGGGTGCATGAGTGTTCACCAAACCCGCACAACATCAGAGAGAAACCCCTGGAACTGAAGAGGCACATCTAGGACAGACAAGGGGAACACACCGGTCCTGTACAGACGGCTTCAAAATTTCTACAGATGACCCACGGATGACTCCTGGTAATTACTGACTTCTGAAAACGAGTTTACTTAGGGAGGATAATCCTAAATCATGTCCTTCCAAACAGCTTTTAGAGGCAATGTCAGAAACAAGCCACCGCTCATTACGATTCCATGACAGTACAGGTATTTTCTGGGGCTGCACCAAAACGCTATACAGCAACCTCCCGACAGCCTTGTCACGGGGAGGGTCTCCTGGTGCTCCAGCCCAGTGACGGGGGTAGCACTCACCGGCGTGCCTGGAGGCTGGGCGTGCACAGACGTCGGCTGCTGCTGAGATGACTGCGGGGTGGGTACCGACGGGGGCTGCACAGGGGTAGGAGGCTGTGGGGTCACCTGGGCTGGGGCTGCAGCCTGGACTGTCGGGGTGCTCTGGGTCTGGGTGGCACTGGGCACTGAGCCAGCGGTGGGGGTGGGGGTCTGCCCTGAAGACGACACAGGAGTTGATGGCTGCGTGGGGGCCGCCGGCTGGGGAGGGGTCATCCCAGGCGGTGTCGGATGCTGCAGAGACGGCATGCCAGCGGCCGTGGAGGAAGGAGGGGGCGTCTGGTGCAAAGCTGACTGTGTTACTGGTGGACAAGGCAGCTGGCCGGCCTGCGGGCCCAGCATGTTCAGAGGGTTGGGAAGAGCAGCCCCAGGCACCTGTCGGGAAGAGAAGAGAGGAGAGCAGTTAACATCATCTCCCCCTCTGAAAACGTGACAATCGATCCGAAGAAATCACATGTATGAAAATCTGATCATGGTGTCCTGGTAAGGTTTCACAGGAACACTGCATTTGTGAAACTTCACTGAGGTGCACGCTCATAACAGCGTGCACTTCCCAACAGTTATCACTACAGGCGTTTCCCATACTTTCATTATACAACCACCAAGCCCTCTAGCTTAAACACACACACACATCAGCTTATTAGCCACATGCTTTGTAACACAGATCCACAATTAGGCCACCAAAAAAGATACTTCTCCTTTTGTTAAAAAAAAAAAAAAGTTATTGAGACACCAAAATGCTTCAGTGAAGCAGTTCTCAACGGGGACACACTACAGAATTACTTGGGATCTTTTTCAAAGAGTGACCACCTGAGACCCACCCAGATGCACGGAACCTCAGTCCGAAGGCCTGACCGGCGCCTGCTCGAAGCTCTGCAGGTGGCTCTGAAGCACTGTCCGAGACTGGGGGTCGGCAAACAATGGCCCGTGGGCCAAATGCGGCGGGCTGCCTGCTCTGGGAACACAGCCACACCCATGCACCAGCAAATCACCAGGAGGGAACACCCTCCCTGCCCCCTCAGTCCCAGCGTCCCCCAGGATCACATGTGAAGGTTAGAATTTAACACATACCAACAAAAAACAACAACACAACTAAAATCTCCAAAATCAAAACAAAACCAAGGAGATGGTAATTCACTCCACTTTTACGTGCCGTTCACCTAGAAATGAGGAGAGGATCTCCAAACCAGTTAAAAACCGCAGGGAAAAACGGGGAAGGAGCGAGATGCTGGCCCATGAAAAGGAAATGCCTGTTGTGGAATTCTAGCTCCCATGAAACAAGATCTGCTCGTGTCAGCAGGGAGGGGGCTCCGTGCGCGTCCACCCGCGAGGATGGTACCTGGGACACTCCCGTCTGGGCGGCCGGCTGCCCCAGGCCCACGCTGTTCACACTCATCGCCCCGCTGGACGACGGGAACTGGTTCTGTGGCAGGAACTGGCTCTGCGCGGGGGCCTGGGCCATCATGTTGTTGGCATGCGCGCCCATCATGCTCGGGGGCTGGGGCATTCGGGAAGGCGAGATGGCCATCTGAAAGACAGCAAGCATGCTCAAGGGCTGCCGTTCAGAAGAGCAAAGGCCAGGCCCACCCATGCGGATCCCAGATGCACTGTTCAACCCTCCCCTTCCCAGGCGGGGAGAGAGCCGCCAATCCCGAAGAATTCCACATGCTTTCTGGTGCACTCTCCCCGGGGAGCCAGCTTCAAAACTGCCCATGAACAGAGTTCAAAACGCAGGTTTATTACTTCTCTAAAGTGTTTAGGAAGCAGCAGAGGAGAGTCAGCTCTAGGTGTCAACAGATGCTGACGATTCCTTCCTGGACATATAACTGGGACTGCCTCCTGCAGCCTCAGACCCCCATCTTCTCGCCAGGCTCAAACCCTAGGAAGGTGTGATTCTCACAAAAATAAACAATGGCCAAATAATTCTCACTTCAGTAATGAAGACGATAAAAAAATTAGAGAAATAAAGCATAACCCAAATTCAAGGGAGCAACTATTGTATGGCTGTCAGACAATACATAAATTCCACTGCGTACAGAATTCTCTTTATTAAAGCCCAGGATTTCTCAGGCACAACCGAGGGAAGCCGAAGCGCTTACCCCTGGAACCGAGCCCATGCTGTTCATCTGGACAGAGTGGTTCATGGGGGAGGCTGCCCGTGGTCCCATGGCGGCTTGTGGCAACTGCACATTTCCCAAGGACATTGGGTTAAACGAATTCATCCCTGTAAAAAAGGACCCACAGTGGTTCACTGGGAGGAGTACCCACAGCAAAACAGAATGACAGCTCGCCAAGAAAGCCGAGGTAAAGTAAGATGGAACACAGGCAACACGTAACATCGCAGGCGAGACTGCCCGATTATCAGAAGAGCCGGCTCAGTAACAGGCTTCTGCATACCTAGAAAGGTACCATACACTTCCCAAGCTTCCTCAAAACAGTCAGTGCCAGAAAAACGGTAGTGATGTGGTGGTGAGGGTGGTGGGGAAGAAAGAACAGAGGAGGGTGGAAGGTCAGATAAACGCAGATGGAAGAGGCCGAGGCCGAGCTGCCGGGCAAGGCAGTGCACCGACTCTGAAGGAAAATGAGAAAGGAAAGGCCAAGGAGGAGCGCAGGCCGCCCCGTCAGGACAGTGCCCCAACTGTCCGCTGCTGAGCTGAGCCGTTACTGACATCAAGGTAACCTGATCATCTGACAATGCTCCAGCGCCTACTGCAGGAAGCCTGTTCTGATCACCCCAGGCTTTACGTTTTTATGTTCATTGCTAGAAGCTGGGATATTTAAGACTCAAATCACTGTTTTAACTTCCCAAGCATCTTGAGCATGTAGAAAGCACCCCAGAGTCAGCAGTTCTCAACCTCAGCCTCCTCTGCAGACTGGAGAGGTCTCCCGTCCACGGCCTATCCTCCCCTGCTCAGGAGCGTCCCCATCCACAGTGAAGGGGGCTCCACCTGCCGGTGAGAGTCTCCAGACCAGTGTCCAGATCCTTCTGATGTCCCACGATACTCTATAAACTCTAAGTACAGGTAAGTGCCCGTCTGAGTGATGTAGGAAGGACGGACACTGGGTGCTTTCCAGAATCCCTGAGAGAATTTCTGGGAGATGCCGTCTTACCACGGGTGCGGCTGTGAGGGTGTCAACCAACCTGGCTCCCGTGGCACCACCTGCCACGTCACCTCAAACACAGCGTCAGCACAGGCCCAGGAGGGCTTTCCAGGGAGCCTGTCATACAAAAGTTTCCCTCTGTCCTTGAGGACTTTATTAACTAAGTAAGAGAAAAAGATGTACTAAAAATCACACCGTAAGAAAACCCACACCACACAGACCGCACCAGCAAGAGAGGTTCACGAGTGGTTAGTTGTTACCCGTCTCTCAGCGGTCAGCCAGACGGCCACCTCAGCACGTCCACACCAGCAGTACCTTCCTGTGGAGCCCGAAGGCCGGGTCATCCCCAGCAGCCTCTTCAGCACTTGCCTACGGCTCACTCACTCACTTCCTGTCCCACCCCTCATCTCTGGTCCATGAAAACCAGTCCCTGAGAAGTGTCCTCCGTGATACTATCTACCACGTCTTTTTCAGTACGCAAAAAGCTACCACAGTTTCTCCATGGCCTCTTCCCCTCTCAGGCTGCCCTCTCCACAGCAGCAAGGCCTCTTTCCCTAGAATCTTCTGGATCACACCTTGTCTCACAACTGTAAAAACATCCTGCTGCTCAAGTCTCAATCTGTCGGGAGCTGTAAAAGCTTTCAAACGTGGCCTTCCCGAACTTCCACAACAAAAACGGCTGCTTTAACCAAGCAAAAACCCTAGAACCTCAACAGGAGAAGGAACCTGGAGCGGTTGTTTGGACCAGTGCCCACCACCCGAAGCCAACGCGGAGTCTCCGTCTACAAGCAGACACCCGGCTGGGCTTGGACACCTGTGCTCACGGCGGCCCTGAGCACCACTGCACCTCCGGCCCAGACCTGCCCACCTGAGCCCCTTTTCACACATTCAGAAACACTGCCTCCCCCAACCAAGAATGCAGGTATTTTTTTTTTTTTTTTTGTTTGCTTGCTGTGTCCTAGCTTCGCCGGTATTTTTTTTTTTTTTTTTTGGTGCGTCTTCCTCAGAGTGATGTCCTCCTGCCCACTTAAAAAAAAAGGCGCTAAGTCCTTCTGATCTCTTTGGAGACCTTCCTTGTGTGATCTCCAAAACTCCAAATGCAACAGATTCCTGCTGCCCGTGGAACAGAATTCAGCAAAAGTGAATAGAAAGGAATAAAACACAAATGAGAAGGGGATAAAAGAGTTACGAAGAAATAGAAAGGGGAAGAGAAAACACCAAAGCTCGATTCCCAATGAAGTAAACTACCTTGCGAAACCTGCATGCGGTTCACTGGCAGGGGCATGGGTCCATCTGCAACGGCAGGAAGAAAACTGGTTACTTAAAATAATCTGTCACTGAGGAATAAGGGACTCTGAGGACTTCAAACAGAAAGGGAAAACACAGTCAACAGGTCCAAAAGCATGGTGTTTTCTGACGATGGTGGACGATTTAGAGGGCCTCCCCCCCGACAAGGGAAACATTCAAATACAGTCAAAACACAGCTCACTGCCTTATGACACAAACAGCTTAGAGCATACAGTTCCAAAGGAGGGGCTTCCTGAGATTTGAATTCTGTATTCTTGGTGATACACCCAAAACACAGAAGGAAAAACAAGCAAACTGACGAGGGTTGGTCGGAGGCATGAGGCCCTTACTTGGAGGTCGCACGGGCTGTCCTGGCGGAATCCCGGGGGTCTGAGTCCCTGGGGCTGGTAGGGGTGGCTGGTTACCCAAGATGCCTTGCTTATGTAAACGTGATCTCCGCTTTTCTTCTAGTTCTTTTTGTATCTTGTAGATTTTCTCTGCCAATAAATGGTAGTATTCATCCTAAAAAGCAATAAACATTCAGTATTAAACAGTGAAGACTGAATAAAACAACGTTTCCTATGTTCTAACTAATGAACTTTTAAAATTACATACACTGGCAAAGGTAAACATTCACACTTGTAACTAATAAACCAAAGGCCCAAATTCTTGCTGAATTCCCAGTGACTTTATAGGACTTTATCAGACAGTAGGTACTCAAAGCATATTGTATTTCATTCCACAACTGAAGCTCTCCTAGGACATCCGCAGAGCACAGCCGTTATCCCAGAGTCTACCCCACAGACATAATGCAATTCTATACACCTCATTCACCACCATGTGTCTGCATTTACAGTTTCTCCTGTCTCCTGCTGGGAAGTCTCCCTGGTCAGTCTCCTCAAGGCGAGGCGTTTCCCCATTCCCAGGCACCAATCAGACAGACGCAGCTATGTCAGCTAAACATGTTCATGCTGTAGAGGCTGGAACGTCATCTGGCAACCTACCCGGCTGTTCGCAGACTCATACATGTCCCCCTCCACTTTCTTAGCGTAGGCTACCAGGTTCTCCATGCGGCGATCCTTCAGTGCTGCCGGATCAGGGGTTGGAAAGATGGCTTGGACACTGAAAGAATAACACACTTCATCAACCTTCTTTCACAGCAGTCAAACAGTAACTACAAGATCAGCATCTTGCTGTTTCACATATGGCATGGAAAGCGAACAAACGGCGGCTTGTCTACCTAGGGTGGCAACGCGCTGTGGAGTCCCGATCGCGCTTGCCTAGTGGATACACGTGCCTCGCGTGCACACAAATGAAGCCACTCCCTGGAAACAGTATTGACCTGTCAACCTATCTGCAGGCCAAACACATCAACGTTTTACTGCTAACAAATAAGTGCTGGGTCAGTCTCAAGAATGGTATGATTTCAAATTCCCAATTTTTAAACTATCACGAAAAATAATTTGATTAACACTTTGTTGTTGTTGTTAGTTGCCACTGAGTCGGGTCTTGACTCATGGCAACCCTACGCATAACAGAACGAAATGTTGTCCCGTCCTGCGCCATCTTCCTGACTGTTGGGATGTTTGAGTCCGTTGCTAAACTAAGGAAGGAAAACAATACCATGGGAACCTACGTGGCTAACTTCACCTACAAGTTAAATGGCTCAAGAAAGCCACTTGCTGGATGGCGGTACTGCCAAGCCACCCGTCCTTACCAGCCCCAAACTCCCAGATCATAGGGTTCTCCACAGTGATAATCCTGAGTCACAAAATAAGGCAAAGTGTTCGCCCTAACCCCAACCCCTCTCACGCATCCCAGAGCTCCAAGAACAGGCGGCGTGGCCACACTGGGGATCCTTGCCTCTGTGACTTGGCTGCAGCCATGATGGTCTGCAGTGCAGAGAGCCACAGACGCTCACCCTCCACCCCAGGGACGTGGGGCCTGGGAGCCCTTGGCCTGCCCAGGCTGTCGGTGGTGGCTGTGGCCTCTAAAACAAGCAGGTAACCCTCTTCAGCAGACGAGGTGCTATCCCCCCAGGCCCAGTGGATGACTTAGGAATGAAATTAGGCGTCCATGAGACTAAGAATCTGCCACGTCGCCTTTACCCACAGAACGTTCACAGCACGCCGAGTCACGGGTACGTACAGTTTATGCACCAAGTGGCTACGCAGGTCCTGAGTGACGTGTTCGTGCCAGCCTTTCCGAACGCCAGTGCTGGAAGGCGGTGCTGCTGTGGGTATGGTGCTGAGGGTTCCAATGTTTCCAGAGTTGGAGCCGTCATTCATCAGCGGGCTAAGGCAAAAACAGAGACTTCATCCACCCACTGAAATGACTCGAATACGGTTCCTTAAGTAAGGTTTTTCTTTAATCACACGACTGTTAAAAAGTTTAAGTTAGGACAGCCCAGTGACACACATATAACACAATTTAAACTATGTTTAATCTATTATCTGCTCTACATTTATAATTAAAAAAAAAAAAAATTTTTCCACCCACCACCCTGCTTGAACTATTTTCTCTGCCACACGTTTAGGAAGAATCACAAAACCTTGTGAATTCCCACTTGCACGTCTGACCATCACCTCTAGACAAGCAAGTGGAAATGGGGGTCTTACTTTGTGGCCCCGAGGGAAGTTGGAAGAGCTGACTCTGAAATCAAGTTTGGTGGCTGCTGATCTGTTGTTATTCCTCCTGCTGGAATGTTCATGGGGTTAGCTCCTTTAAAACAAGAAGGAAGAGAACTCAATCAGCTCTTAAATTATAATACATGCTTCGAAGTTTGGACAGCAGACAGACACCACCACCACACAAACAACTGGCTCTGACGCACTGGGGCTCTGGGAGCCACGGGTCCGGCCCCGGGGACAGGCACAGATTCAGTTGGGGGCTCCTTCCCACTAGACCCTGGAATCAGAATAAGGCACTTCTATGAAGGTGGGCTGCTAGCAAATGTGTACTCTACGGCTGTAGAAAAATTCAGAAACAACCCATTTGCAGCTTCACACTGGGAACGTGGATCCGTTATTAGCATACTCTAAACAACTGAGCGGATCTGCCACACGCCCTTGTGAACATTATCAGAAAATAAAATTATAGAAGCTAAGAACAGGGAAAAAAACTTAGGTCAATTTGTCCACAGACTTCACTTTAAAGTAAGAAAAAGTTGAGACTAGAGAGGTTAGTGGTCTTGTCCCAAATTACATCACCAATAAAGGGTGACGTTAGGCCATAACTCAGGTCTCAGGACTCCAGCCCAGTCTCTGGGTTAGTATAAATTAGATATTCCTTATCAGAGTGCTTCCCAAAAAGGAGCACATGAGACGATCATAACTGACCATTTCTCAGTGTACAATACTTATTCTAACATTTGTTAGGAGAAGAACAGAACCGTGACTTCATAGACATTGCTGCTTAGCTTATGTCTAAGTTTAAAAGGACTGTGCAATTTAAAGAAAAATATTAAAGAAGCAATATGCAGAGATGGAAAAACTGTGGAGACTTGTGAGCAAACGGCCCAGACTGGCAGATAACGGGCTGGGATGACAAGAGAAAACACCAGTACATCCGGACACCTGAGACAGGAGGCATTTTCTGAGTCCTGTTAAGCCACCCAAATCCAGGCGGTCACTTCCGGTTGTGGGGAAGACCACGACCACAACACACCGGCAGTCAGCAGACCCACCTGCACCGCCCCCACCCACTGAGTGTCAGGGCCAGGGCCCAGCAGAGGCCTCGCCTGAGCCTCTGCATACGGAGCCCCAGGAAACGCCCAGCACGCTGTCCACCACAGGCAGTGCAGCAGGCAGGCAAGAGAAATGCTGGTTCATCCACAAACGTGATTCTTTTCAGAAGCATGTGATGTCTTCCTTGCATCAGACGCTAGCTTTCTCCTGGAAGGTTTTAATCGTGGCCACTTAAAAGACACCATACCAGCATAAAAACCCAAACCCATGGCCACTGAATCGATTCCGACTCGTAGTGACCCTACAGGAAGGACAGAGTAGAACTGCCCCCATAGGGCTTCCAAGGAGCGGTTGGTGGATCTGGTTAGCAGCTGAATGTTTAACCACTGGGCCACCAGGGCTCCATACCACCATAATATATACCCAAATAATTTTGACTTTAAAGTACAAAAAACTGAAAACAGCCTTGGGTTCCAGCCCGAGCTGTCATTCTGCTTGCCACATTTGGACCAAGGAGGTTCATGTGAGTGGTCTCCTTCACCTACCCAGGGGGTTGATCGTCCTCATCTGCTGGTGAGTTTGAGGCTGTGCTGGTTGCTGGCCGGGAACCTGAGGCTGCAGCTGCGTCTGGGGCTGGTTCATGTAGGGCAGTCCAAGTGCAGCGTATGCTCGTTGCATGGAGCTGGGGTCTATGGGGTTTGGGTTACTCAAAGAAGTGGCATTCTGCTGGCCTGCGCCAACAGAACCAATTGTATTTTGAATTCCACTAGCTGGAGACCCCAGGATGGCTACAAAAACAAACAGACAGACAAACAAAAAGGTAAGTAAAAGGGAGAAGCCCACAAATCAGTTAAAAACCATTGAGGAGCAAATGTAGTGTCACCAAAAGACTGTCGGAAGCGTTCCAACAAGGCCACCACGACAGAAGCTGCCGAGAAGGAAGGCCGTTCCCGGGGAAAGAAGAGCCCTGCCCTTCTCACGCATTCTCCTGGCGACAGCGGAAGTCAAGCTTCCATCTCAGAAAGCACAGAGACCCCCGAGTAAAAACTAACACGTATCAGCGTCTACAGACTCCTGAGGAAGCAGTCCCAGGAGAGTGGCAAATGTGTGACAATGGAAAGGTTTGTTGTTTTTTTTTTTAAACTATTTGGGGCTGCAGCCCCCTCTGTGTGAATTAAGGACACCCCTCACACTGCCTCTCTGTCTGGGTCCTTCACTGCTCACTTGCACAGGGACAGACGGATTAACAGGAGGAGCAGAGGTGAGACCCAAGTTGGTCACTTCTGTTACTTATTTGTAAGTCTAAGAAGTGATCTTCCAAACAATAAAACTGCATCTCCTTGAAACCTATGTGTATAATGACGGCATTAACAACAAACACTCCCTACAGGCTTCCTAAACAGGAGGGCGCCACGCTGGGCTCTCTGGTTACGTGAACTGTTCAAGAGACGGTATACTTAATTGATTGACTGGTCTGGCTGAAATTAATGGATGACTGAGGCCTGGCGATTCTGCATGGATTTTCACTTGTCTAAGTGCAACCTCAGTACCTCTGAGATTCGGGAGCCGGTTCTGCCTCATGCAGGCGTCACTGGTGGCCACTGTCCAGGCCTGCAGCTGGACATGAGGGTGTTCCCTCTGGCTGCCCCAGTAGATGAAAGAAAAAACTCTGATCTCGAGAACTTCAGAGTTAACTGAGAGATGACCCCAAACGTGTATATCCTTGGTCATTCCACCCATCACCCAGCCACCCACCCAGCCATCCACTGTTGTCATCTGGGGAGCATTATTATATAGCACACTATTTATTTTTACTCCGAAGAATTCCTTTCTTTCCAACTTCCCCAAACTTTAGTGTCATGTTATAAATAACAGTTTATAAACTTGATATAGAATGTGTGTCTTTGATACATAAAGCACCATCACAAAGCCTTTCTTTCAAACCCACACCATCATGTGTAACAGGAACACTCTCACATTCAACCGTCAGCGCAACCATAACATAAGCTACTCAAATACTTTGATCAGAGCAACTTAATTAAACCAAAGTGTGTTTAAAACATTTTCTTGGTAATTACACATTCCATACTATTAACTTTTCTAATAAGGATATTTCAATCTCAAACCCATTAATGCTCATTAGACACAATTACATACCCCAAGCACCTCATTATTATAAATGAAAAGCAATTCCCAAGATACATTTCATGACAAATGCGTATTTGAAGTAAGTCATGTACAATACCCTTAAAAGTAGTTAAACTTTAAAGATGTACCTATCCCACTCCTGACAGTGGCATGCTAAATTTTGTAATAGAATGATGAAGTAAAAACTGTGGGATAATTTGTTTTTATCACTCTTGTGGACTGTACGAAAGAACAGTCCTAGATTACATTTGATACACATAGCAACCAATTATAGAGAAGAAATTAAAGGAAAAAAGGAATCTTTGTGGCCTTCTTTTTCTAGGGAAAGATGTAATTAGTCATGCGTTGCTTAACATCCATGATACACTCCATGAACAGGACGCGATTTGGACGTTGTGCGAATACCATATTATGTACAGGCAATCCCCGGATTTCGAACGAGTTCCGTTCCGTTCTGTTCCTAAGTCTGTCTTTATGTCGAATTTGTATGTAAGTTGGAACAGTTAGGTACAGTTCATATCTAACGTCAGTCAAACGTCTGTCTTAATATATAGTATATACCTGTCTATGCATAAAAAACATTAAAGAAACACTTTCAGACACACTAAAACATTTTTACTATAATAACACGGCAATAATAAAAACAGTGTTCTGATGCATCACGAAGTAGCACCCGTCTGTTACTGCAAACACTGCATGCACCTCAAACTGTGAATTGGCTTTACCGTGGCTCGTCTGTGTACGTGATTTGGGGACTTAGCGAAGTTATGTGAGGTACCGTAGTGTACCTATATTGACTAAACAGCCAGGATACTGTACATACACAATACTGTACTTTACCCAATGCATCTTACAAGGTAATACATAGGTTAAGTAGGTTACTACTGGGACCACAGACGTATATGTAGTTGGACGTTGCCTGAATGGACGTTACGGCGCGTGACTGCGCTGTGCTTTAGTAAGGACTTCTTCCTACCACGGTCCACTTTTATCTGCACTCCCCAAACTGCCCACCTTAGAGCGAATACCATTTCCAAGCCTAAGGCCACTGCCAGAAGCTGCCGACACGGTTAGTGTATCTTGTGTTTCTGTTAAAAGCATTCATTTTCTAAACGTAAACATTTAAAAGCTTTCTATATTTGTTTATTTTAAAGAAAATATATACCTATCAGAAGACTCGTAAGCATTTAGAACCTGACGTTTCTAAAAATTCAGAAGCAAGGAAAACAAATCACAAACACACAAACAAAAAAGGGCTGCCATTTAAACATGGCCTCCCTTGGAGTCCAAACGCTGCTGCCGGATGACACACCAGTTACGGGAAAGGGACCTGGGTGTCTGCTTTGGAGGGTCCACTGACTGACGGGGGGGCTACCAGGGAGAAGCCACCAGGAACTCTTCTGCCAGCTCAGGATGACGACACCCCTCGGCGACAGCTCTCCTGGGCTCTCAGCTGACGGTGCTCTTTCTCTGAATTTCCACAGCATCTCCTGGGTCTCTGGTTCTCTACAGGCAGGTACACCTCAAGCATTCACCCACTCATTCGTTCTTTCTTTTACCGCATTAACTGAGTACATACTACTCCGCTAGTTCTGGAGTATGGTGGTGAGCAAAAAAAGACTCTGCTCTCACAGAGCGTTTAGGGTCTGCTGGGAGAGAACAAATCCATCTAAGAGTCACCTAACGAATGTAAAACTGCAGCTCTGGACCCTGGCTCAGAGGACATCTCGCTCATCCCACTTTCCCCATGCGTCCCCACAGGGCAGGATCAGCGGGAGACCACTTCTGTTGAGCCACAGCGCCTGCTCCCAACTCCGTCACAGAGCTCATGGGTGTCCATGAGGGTCCTGGCAGTATCCACATGATGACTGAAAGCCACAAGGCCCTCCCTCCCAGCTCTGCAAAACTGCGTGCCTTCAGACTTAAATAAAAGCTGTGTTAAGTACAGCAAAGCTTCACTTATCTGGCATCAGTGAGAATGAGGCCATCTACGTAAGTCAGTTTCCCACAGTACTGACGCTTCCCTCCTACATGTCAAAACCTCTTGTTGTCTTCACTGTTCTCACATCTTCTTTCCTTTCTTAGCGCCTACGGTCACCTCTCACACACAATCAACCCTTAGGCTGTAATGCCACGGTCTCTCTAATACACCAGGCCTGGGTCTCCTGGTGAGCTGCTATTTCTGCTATCAGCATAGCTGCGAGCGCCCCGCAACAACTCCTCTGCCCCACCAGGAGCCCAGCCCCTAGGAAAGAAAAGGCCAAGTTTCAGAGTGGGCGCTTCCAGGACTCACCTGTCACTACTGACGGCGACAGGTGGTGCCCCGCATCCCGCATGAAGACTGCTCTCCTGACAGTTTCCACGTAAGGAACATTCTGCTAGCTTGCAACGTTCAATTAACCAGAAAACTTTAGTCCCCAGTCATTCTCAATAAAGTGGGTTCAGTTGGGAAATTCAGTGAAAAACTGACACAATAAAATTGACAGCTCTGTAAGCGGGGAGGGTGGAGAGGAGAGACATCGCTGAGCAGACGAAGCAGCTACCATCCAGTCACTGCTCAGACTTCCACAGAAAGAGCAGCACTAGAATGTCCCCAGCAGCCCGTGTGCACCAGGATACACTTCCTCCCATAGCACCTACGACGCCAAGTCCAAGGCGCAGGACTCCCATCACAGAAACTACCAATCAAGAACACACAAGCCCTCCAACAGAACGCTTTCTTCAGAAGCCAAGAGACTGAGGAGGGGGCAATATTATATTACCCAGAAGAGCAAGGGAAAAGCTCTTCTGACGAGATCCATCACTAATAACTGTCTGGCCTTAAAAGGCAGCAAACGCAGCCCCCCGGCTCCCTCCTTACAGCCACTATGCCCCAGCGCCCCCGACCCCTGCCTGCCCCACCACAGATCACGAAGAGGTCTCTGGAGGCCTGAGAAGAGCTCTTGAACAAAGAGCCTGTTCAGCACACACTTACCGGGCACCCAAAGAGGCTACTCTCTGGGTGGAAGAAGTCTTAAGGAGGAGGATTTGGGCTCAGTATCATGAAGGCATTTCAACCAATCAGAGGTGCCTAAGACGAGAACAGGGCGCCAGGTAGGCCGTGAACGCCCAGCCCACGGAGATGTTCCAGCGGCGGGCTGGAGGACTGCAGGCTTCGAACACTGCTGACGGGGCACGCGCGTGGCTGCGGACGCGGCTGAGGCTGTGCGAACGGCAGAGTGCTTCACCACTAGCCAGAAGGCTGGCGGTTCAAACCCGCCCAGAGGCCATGGGAACACAGGCCTGGAGATCTGCGCCTGAAAGATCACAGCCCCGAAAACCCTACGGAACAGTTCTAGTCTGCCCACATGGGGCGGCAGTGAATCGGAATGGACTCGGCAGCTATGGGGGGCAAGGCAGGGCTGCGGGCGGTGCTGGGCTGGGGTGGACACTGCAGCCCACACTTTGACCTCCTCGTGGGATTCTGAGCTGGAAATCACGGCCAGGTAGCCTCACACCTTCACGACAGTTCCTGCACAGACACCACTCTTCAAAGCACCTTGAACCGTTCAACGTCCATCCTAATCACCTGGGAGCTAGTAAGAACGCAAATCCTAGTTCAGGAGGCTGGCGGGGGTGGGGGGGGGCCCAAGTTTCTAGGGTTCTAATCGGCAACGTGGAACTGCCCAGAAAGCTGGTCTGAGGACTCTGCTTTGAGGAGCAACAACTTCCCCAGTGAGGCAGGCTGAGCTCAAACAGGAGACCCAGTAATGCACCCGCACTGTCCCTGTGCTGCTGTGGGCAGTGGAACCCACTGGAACCAGATGCCAGGGCTGACCCACTCAATGTACACCTGAGGAGTCCCAATTATTCAATAAACACAGAGCACTGCCACAGGGGTGGGTAGCTTAAGACTGGTGATTTATAGGATCTCTAGGAAAAAAAACACAAAATCAAACAAAATCTCCACAATGGCCAAAAAGGGAACCCCAGGGTCTGGGTTTTACTTCAAAGAACACCAGGTTAGCCCACGGTGACTCCTGGTAGGTCCTCTCAATAGAGACATCAATTAAAGCTGCCGGACAGTGGGATGCATCAGCATCCGTGCGGAATGCCCCCAGAAAGCACAGCCACGCAGGGCACCTGGGCACGCTCTCCACGGTGCAGGTGCAGGCACAGGTGGGTCTCAGCAGACTGTCCCCAGGGGTCCTTGTGCACCCTCTGAACATCTCCCCTGCACACAAACATGTGAGTCTGGTTAGATCCATCCCCTCACAGGCCATGAGTTGCACTGACACTGTCCTTGCTGTCTAGAATGTTCTTCCATTGTCATTTTATCTACAGCGGGTTCCATCAAGCCCTCTTCCCTGTGCAATAGTTGTCCAGGACGGCCGACAGTTGACTGGCCTCTACCCACCCCTCTGCATGCCACCGTCACCCTGCCGTCTTTAATGTGTGTACTCTGTCTCCGGCACCTGACCTTAGGCTCCTGCAGGGAGGAGCCACATGTCCTGCCCTGGGGCCCAGGGTTAGCACCTCATCAGCACAACTCCTTTTAGGCGAGGAGAAACAACAACAGAACGGACAGAACGGACATCACCGAGACCTCCTCACTCTTCGCAGCGCGTAACTCTTCTCACAAAGCTCAGCGCTAGAGCCAAAAGAGAACATGCCAAGTGACACCCAACTTGAGGAGCATTTCCAGCGTTCAAAGGCAGTGCTTTCCTGTCTTTCGTAAGAGACTACCAAACTCCTGAACAAAGACCTAAATCTTCTCTCTCTGTAACTCTACATTATAAAATTGCCCTGGTCACACCTCACACTATGACTAATACGTAAACTGTGGCTTACTTGAGAGAGCACGCACCAGGTCAACTTTCACGCCGTTCAGGCAGTCAGAGATGCTAGAAACAACAACCGAACACCCTCAGAACCACACGCACATGGAAGTTTCTCTCCCTTTTTAAAACTGAAACCACCTAAGTGTTTCTTAAAAAATGAAAGAAATCCAAGCTTACGATCACCATGGCAGTACATATTAAACAAAAGATCCCAGAAAAGTCACACCCCCAAACTAAAAGTTAAGAGTGAAGTCTTTGCTCCTTGCTGTTCAGCAGTATTCATCCATGAAATTCCTACTATACGACCCCAAACTGTCTGATGAGCAGCTAAGCACTTAAGAAGCGTATTACTGAGATGTGTTCTAACAAGAGATCGTAACCATCACAATATACTAGTTCTAAAAAAAAGTTTTACACTAACTTGGAGGAAAAACAAACTGTATTCCACTAGAACAACTGTCCCAAATGTCTGGTTCTAGAAGTCCCAGGCTCCTAGAACTTCACTTTATGTAAGAGATGTCCTGGAAAATTGTGTGTGCATTAAAAAAAAAACAATTTAACTGATTTAGGAAGCTGACTTTTAAAAGAAATTATGACTGTTTTGGAGGGCAGGGAGGTCACAGGGCCCACCCCCGGAACTCTGCTTTCAGTGAGGCACGCCTGCACACGGCGAGGTCTCACAAACTGTCGTGGCACGCCACTCCACGGGGCCCCGAGGAACAGTGTGCTTCTCAGCCTTTTCCCGTGTCACCGCGCCACAGAAACAACCAGAAAGACAAGCAGCATGTTTTCTCCCAGTGGCAGTGGGGTCTTGAGGAAGATGATCAAGAATGAAGGTGATGAACATTTAAAACGCAAACAGGGCAGGGTGGAGGGATGGCACGAATGAGAAGACTGGGCTGTGCTGGAAGAGCCGCGTGGGCCCAGTCCTGGCGAGAGGTAGACAGATCAAGAGCACCTTCTAAGCGGGCCAACCGCGGGGCACACCAAGAGCAGAGCTTCGTCTCTGACGCCACGGGAAGAAAGCGTAACTGGAAGCGATGTTCACCCTTCCCACTGCTTCATGCTCAGCTCTGATGCCTACAAAGGGCAGGTGGTCCTGGAGCCACCGCTCAGGCCTCCCGATTGAAAGGGCTCTGGGGCTACACAGCTGACTTGAAAGACGGCACAAGGATGAGAGTGATGAGGATGTGGCCAGTCCTGGGGCAGAGACTCCCAACCCGAAGCTGCATAAACTGCCAGTCACACAAATAGGGCTGGGAAGCACATCACTGCATAGCAGGGAAAACTTCCCAGAAGTCCACCTGTGGGATCTGAGACCGACCCAGTCTGCCGGGCTTTCCTAGAACGCCTTCAAATCTTACTTTAGGATAAGGGGTTTCCAGTTCCAAAAGAAAGAGTCCCTGTGTTCTCCCCCATAAAATCCCTGCCACTACAGTGACCCAAAAATCAGCCAGTGAAAATGCTAGAGATCACAACACCCAACCTGCAACCGATCATGGGGATGGCGCTGGCCTGGGCAGTGTTCTGTTCTGTTGTGCGTGGGGTTGCCCCGCGTCAGGGTCTGACTCAATGGCCACTAACACCAACGACAGTGACCCCGTGTTCCAGTCCTCAGATACTAAGTATTCATAAAGAAACGACGTGGAGAACCTTTACCTTGGCTCTTGGATTAGTCAAAGTGGCTTTCCTCCTCTTTACTGCTCCACTGCTACTGAATTCAAGTGTATGGCAGTGGGGGGCAGGGAAGTGGAGAGGCAGTGAAGAGAATTCCACAACTACCAGGTCATTTACGTCCATGGCCACTCGCCTCGGCTTGACCCCGTGTCCTGTATGCCGCTACCTTGCGAACCATTGCTGGGCACTACACCTGGTGGCGAGTGAGCTCTGCCCTGCCTCCTACCTGCTCCTCTGCAATCTCCTTAGAAACGGCTCGTTTGCTCATCTCCAGACTACTCCACCCCCAATGCTCACTTACGTTGTTGGTTTCGCTTGTCACTGGCATTTTTCAAAGGGAGGCAAACAGGACAGTCATGTCGTGTGCAGTTCTTCCAATGAGAGATGATTTGTCGTGAAGATGCACAATGGGCAACTATGACCAGAAAAACAACGAGATGTTATTTTTCTATCCAAATCGTCACACTTTCCATTACACCTAAATTATAATGCCAGAGTCCATAAGAAAATGGTAACAAGTGTAACCATAACACAGTACAGCAGGCCTCAACTTACAAACAGACTGTTTTCCAAAATGTTTGTAAGGCACCTGTGGAGAATTCCGAACCGAAACTCCCCACAGAAGCAATGTTATGACGACGGGTGGTTACGGTTCAGCCCACGGACAAAAACTACTGAACCTGAAATACAGAGCAACTGCAGCCAAAGACAGAACAAATAACAGTTCTGTAACGTCACTATTTAAGGTAACATCTGAAATTACGTTTAAAGACAAAAACCATCTAGACACTGTAGTGGAAGAACTACAGACAGAGAAGCAAATGAGAAGTCTGGAGACTCTGAAGGGCTCCCAGGCACCGTGTAAAGGACTTCAGAGGGTAATGAACCTGGTTATTCTCATCTTTGTCTTCATGTCGATACACGGCGTTGTGCTTTCTTTCTCACAGTCTAGCTTTGCCCCCTTTGCTTCTCCATCATGATTGGGCTACCCTGGGGACTCACGAATGTCACAGAGGGAGAGAGGGAAGATAGAATTCCCCAAGGCTTGTGAGAGCGAGTAAGAAAAGAAGGAAAGAGGACGAGGACTAAAGGGAAGGCAGCTCTGGGTCAGAAACATCCCTCCCGCAGAGATGAGGTGTCTGCTGGAAGAGAGGGGACGAAGGAGGCGACAGGATGACGCACGGCTCCCGGCCACCGCCGAGCTGACGGACAGCCAGCAGGACAACTTTGCTGTCCTCTTGATGAGCCTCAAGAGCAAAAGGGAGAGGGGTAGGGGAGGGGGTCCCGGTGGTCAGGATATAGGAAACAGCTGCAAGACAGATGCTCTGATTCCGGGAGGGGCGTGTGCATGAGTGTGCATATACCCTACGTGGCTTGAAAGAAAACCATGCCCTAGATGCTTGCAGTGAAGGCAGTGTTCAAGAAGCGACAGACGCCTTCCATGACAGAGGGAAGAAGAAGAAAAAGAAGGAACACCGGGCACAGCCTCATCCAGTCTAAGTGCACAGAACACGATAAACCCAACTACCTCTTCCCTCAGCAGGCGAGCGTTCCTGTGGCCTGTGGCGTGTGAGGGGTCAGTGCGTGGGGACCCGAGAGCAACACATTCTAGGCTGCTCCAGACAGCAAGGCAGCGTGCAGGCTGCTGCTCCCTTACTGACAGGAGAGCTGCTTAAGAACGATGAAGACACATTCCACCCTAACCTTCTGCCACCGGGACTCCAAACGGCACCTACCTTGACAGGCTTTCCCGGCCTGGCAATGCGTCATGTGATTCAGAACGTTCTTCATGGTCCGACAGTGGGGCAGCGAGCAGGGCCGGACCTCGCCGTTGGCCTGCTCTCGCCGCTGACATTTGTGGGCGTGGAGCAGGAGGACCAGCTGCTGCTGTATCAGTTTGCGCTTCTCCGGGTCGGCAGTGGGGCCCGTCGCCATAGCTTGTGTTGGGACGATCCCCACTGACGTCTGCATCTGAGACTGAAAGAAAAGAAACAAAACAAAAAGTCAAAATATGTAAATAGGCTCACAGGGGTCCGGTTCCTGTTTGTCAATCGTCTTTAAACCAGTGGTTAAAGCTGACGGATAATATCGTCACGCCATAAACCCGCCACAGAGAAGAGACTTGGTGTACTTCTCACTAATCCATCGACAACTCTGAGGAAGATCAGGAAGCACAGGATAAACGCAACTCAGACGCAAGGCTGATTAAGGTTTACTCGCACAGATTATCACCGGAGCAAGAAAATGACACTTACTCTTGACTGCAGTAATCAAAACCCAACTCACGCTATAAATACACCATTGCAGGAAAAGCTGTGCAGAGTACCAGGCAGAACCATCGAAACCACTGTCTGTGAAGTTCCCAAATGACCACATGCTGGCAATTTTCATATGGTCTGGCCTAATTAAAAAGACTGCCCTGGCCTGACCGACTGTAGCACGCTGCAAACACCCCATGCAGCGAAAGGAATCGGAACCATCCTTCAGATTTCACAATCACGTGGCCAGAACGACAATATGCACAGCCTGATTTTACAGTGTTGATTACTTCTCCTAAAAGTACACTTTTCCTTAATACTACCAACCAGCACTATTATTAATGCTTTCTCTGGTTTTGTTTTATGAATGCTTTTCCTGCCATTAAACTTTCCACTTAAATGTTTAACAATAATTTTTCCAAAAAGTTTTTGGCAAGCTGCTAAAAGTACAGAAATAGTTTAATGTGCTTTCATCGGTCCAAAAGAACAAGCCATACCAAGCACATCTCTTAACTGAAAAGAAAAAAAGGAAAGGGAAGAGGTGACCTATGGCGTCTTCTTATTCTTTAAACTACCGGCGTTCTTCAGGAGAACTTACGACAGAGACTAACGAACCAAGAGACATGTAATGGTCCTAACATGCAACAAAATAATCCATAATTTAGGGATTTCCAACCTTCCAAAAATACGATACCCTAAGACTCTCAGCTTGATTCCACAACACTTACTACCTGCCCTAAAAGTACACCACCACTCTGTTTTTTTAAAATTAAGAATCAAAACTATATGTTTGTAATTAGGAGGTGGAAAAAAACTCTGAAAGCATATCTTAAAGAATCAGAGCTCGTTTTTAAAAAGTTGTAGTTTTCTGTTTGACTTTATCTGTTCGTGAACTCGGAAAACACGTGCACAGAGAGGCGGGGGGCCCCACTCAGGAGCACGACCGCTGGAAGCCTCAGCAAGGCCTGGGGCAGCCTGACGGCAGTGAGTACTGACATCGGGGAGGAAACAAGCTTCCTTTCCTCATGTTTATTTGTTCTGGTTATAAAAGCAATATACGCACACTGTAGAAAATCTAGAAGGCAACAGAACGATTAAGGAAATAATTACCACCACCTGGAGCCCCAACGGCTAGGAGGCCACTGTTAGAGTGAAGTATTGACGTGTTTTTCTTCGTCTTTTTTCCCACGTACACGCACATGTATGAGCCACAGTCTAGGTAGTCTTGCATCCAAACATGTTTCGCTGGGTGCCACCCACACCACCGTCCCATACCACTAAGCTGTCTCATGCAGTCGGATTTTTAGTTCATGTGTGGCATTTCACTGTAGGGCTATACATCCACTTAACCAATCTCCCACTGATGGGTAAACTGTTCCCATTCTGTTGTTGTTGTTGTTGTTACTGAATTTTTACATAAAGTTTCAGTAAACAAAATAACCTTATAGGTAAATCTCTGCTCTTATTTTTGGTGGCTGGATTCTGAGACGTGGAAATAGTGAGTCAAGAGACAGGACCATCCTTAAAGCTCCTGATACAAATGTTGTCAAATTACTGTCCAGCAAGGCTGTGGCACTTCCCATTTTCACAGGTTGTTTTTGGTAGTCTCCGCCGGCATTCAGGGATGATGCTAAAATCTCCTAGATCAGCTCATACCCATGGATTCAGAAGGTCCAGCCAGAAATCAGTAGGAGTAGAGATATGGAAAAATCTAAGAAAAGTTATTTTTGTACTTATGAAAATTTCAAACATACAGGAAAGTTCACTATGATTACATCTCACAAAATCAAAAATTTGTTCAATATTAGTTGATACCCAGTTCCATATCAAAAGTTCCCCTGTTGTCCAGAAGCTGTCTTCTATAGTCGGTCCGCTCAATCAGAACTCGATCAAGGACCACACTCTACATTCATCTGTCATTTTCTGTTTCCCCGTCTACTGCCCCTGTGTGCCACCCCCGCCCCCAATTTCCTACCACACTGACTTGCTGAAGGACCAGGCCAGCTGGCCTCCCTCTGTCTCTTAAAATACAGAAACAGTACAGACACAAAAATAAACCACATAAAAATTAGGTAAGAACCTTACAATTAAATTACAAGCAGGTTAGCTGTAAGTTACCAAAATTAACCCACTGTTGCTCATTGGGATTTTTTTAGAGGATCACTGAACTACACCTAAGCATATGATGAAACCTCAGCGTGTAGAAACAGTGTGGTTGGAGACTATCAGTACATGTGAAACTTGGCCTAGGATTCGTCTACCTGTGGATGGAGGCAAAGGAGTGGTTTAATGAGCTCTACGCGTTGTTTGCGTATGTCTCAAAAGCAACCCGGCAGGTGAGTGAAGCTGAGTCAACGGCGAAATGGACCAGAAGACACAGCTTCTGTCCCTGTGTCTGGCCTTTGCCATGGCTGCGGTCAAAGCCACAAGGAGCAGAATGGCCCAGTCGAGCCCCACCCCAATTCTCAACCCACAAAAATCGTGAGATCTGATACAACGGATCGTTGTTATTTGAGGACAAATAATAATAAGGTACATCCTTTTATGTTTGTACATGTTCTTAGAAAAATCTCTGTAAGACTAGACAGTGGTGCTCTCTGGGCAGGGGTGGGATTATGTGTGCTGCGGATGTCTTTCACTTTTTACTTTATGTAATTGTGTATTCTTTGAATGCTATTTTATAACTAAAAATATTTCACTTCGGGGAAATTTATGGAAAAGTGAGATCAGAATAATCAGTAGAAAATGATGAGGAAGTAAACATAAAAAATAAAACTGTGACAGTACTACAGTAAAATTAAGATGAGTATTTTTGTAACGCAGAAGTGGTAAAGGCTTAGTCGAAAACAAGAAGCAGTGGTCCAATCACCAATAACCTTTTGAAAACACAGACTCCCCATCCCTCCCGCCCGAAGGACACGATTCAGAAGTCTGGGGTAGAATCCAGGGCATTTATATTTTTAGAAGTTCCGTCGGGGATGCTTGTTCATTTTTAACTGTATACTTTTCCCAAATTTTCTAAAATGAACATGCGTGTGCGTCCACTACGGGAATAAAATGAAATATTTAAGAGAAACAAGTCCCCCAGTGATGCTGATGCAGAGAAGGGCACAGTCGTAAAGGGACAGTGTGAGGGGTCTGAGGGCATAAAAAGTGCCATCAGTCTAGGACTAACGCCACTGAGGACAAGCCGAAAGGCAAACCAACCAAGAAAACACGCTCTGGACATGCACACGACACAGCAGCCTTGCTTCTTCCCCTGCTGCATCCCCCCGACCGACCTTGCCTTCTCAAACCCTCCGTGCCAGGCAGGCCAGTGTCAAGGAGCAGAAGCTCCTTCAGTGCTCACCCGGCCCTCTCTGCGGGGGGAACAACCTCCTGACTACGCCCTCCCCCAGAAGGAAGGCAGGGGGCCCAGGATACAGCCCACCCTGAGCCCCTCAGCGGCACTGCCCCCACGCAAGGCTGCCTCCTGATTTATGAAATGTTCTATTAGAATCTTACAGAACAACCACCAAGGAAGGGCAGGCACTACAGACCTAAAACAAACAAGTGCATTTCTACAGACATAAATACTTTAATTCTTCCTAGTAATCAAAGATATGCAAATCCAACTAGTTAGACGTCATTTTTAACGCATCAAATTGACAGGCGTGCTCCCCAGCCCTGGAGAAGGTGGGTAACAAGAACCGTTGTGCAAGACTGATGGCTGGAAGGCAACAGAGAGGTCTTTACCAAAAACCCTTAACCACACGTGATGTGTATTTCTGGAACGCGCACCAGCTCGCTACATGTGGACCTTAAGTACTAGGGGGCTGTGTGGCGGGGGAGTCACAGTTGGACCGTGATCTTCCCCTGCGTGTGAACACACTGCGCCACCAAGTACCAGCAGGTGAACACAGAGCTCGTTTCCCATCTCAGAAACGCCTGGTAAATATGTCATCCGCACCATGTCACATCACACACTGTGCTTACACTGTGTTTCCCAGTTGATAACCACTGACTAAAAATAAGGGATGAATTTAAACAATGAAAGAATTTACATAGATACTATTGAGAAATTTAAGACTAGAGGTTATTCCTCTAAGGCCTCACAAACCTTTTCTGGGAGTTCTTCAAGATAGAGGTGGAGGCAGTAAGATGCAGGTAACACATGCAAACTCTCAAAAAACACAAGCACTTATATTACAATAACTATGGAGCAACGTTTACTTCCAAACCTTTCTCATGTTTCCCAATTCAGTCACTGAGACACAATCACTAATCAGGGAGTGACTGCACACAGACACCGCCATCGTGGCCAAGACTCCACACGGACTATTCACTTGTCGCTCCCACAAGCACTGTGTAAGCGCCCTCCTCAGTCCTGATACACAGGGAACGGGAGACTGACAGCCACTTTTAAATTCCTCTTGTGAAGGAAGAGGAGCCAGCGTGTGACTGTCGTAGGAAGGAGACGAAGCCCATTGAGAGAGCCGTTCAGACATGACAGAGAGGGACGCTGGGTTCACCGAGCCCATCCGGGCTCCGTCAGCTCAGGCTGCGATGGCGTGACGGCCAGAGCGCGGGCGGGTAAGACAAACCCGGGGTCAGCGCAGCCTGTGATGTCCTGGACACAAGACAAATCAAGCACGCCCGCTCCGCTGCGGGATGGCCGACTGAGGGGTGCACGGCTGTTTCCGCGGGCAGGGGCTCCCTGGCAAACATTTTCAACATCAC